GAACGGTGTGTTTTTTTTACTATGATTTGTTGAGTGTTAGAATTAAAGGAAACTGTCGATGAGTCTTTTCCATTATCCTCGGACAGGGAATAAAGTACCGCACCACTATAAACAATGGATTTGAGGTGACAACAACGGGGAAAAGTTGGGAAAATACTGCCTCTCTACAAGTCCCACGATGTCCAGTCCCTGGAAAATCCGAACGGCTCGATTGAGGTTGAGTTCCATCCTGGAGGATCAGTAATCCCCAAGGATAATTCTCAACAATTCCTCTAAACAGACCCTATTCATAATTGTAACTTATCGTCAAAATATTTAAAAAGACCTTTTTAAGGCACTATAAAGAGATCTTGTGAATTAATAGTGATTCTAGTGTAGTAAGAATTCGTAGAAAGAATGGTTTAAATCTTTAAGACAAGAGGCATAATATACTACAAGGTTGATGCAGATTTTATAATACTACTTCACTTATTTTTTATATATATTTTTTATTTAATTAACGTTCAGCTTAATGAAAGATACATTTTTGTCCTATATTTCTATGTTCCACATTTCAGACTGGTGGTTTTTAATTTTTTTTATCTTTATTATTCACTAGAAATATATTTGGCTATGATTAGTGGGTACCTTTTCAGGAAATCAATTTTAGGTACTTGAGAAATCTGTCAGTTCCCAATTAATCCTTTTATCTTATACGTGCCAAAATTTTTGCTTAGCTATCACCTCTGTCCAAATTAATAATCGCAACCATTATCGTGTGAATATATTTATTGTTATGCGTCAATGTAATGCGATTTCAATGACATTATTTTCATAATTATTTTGTTAAGAATTCAATTTTATTTCGCTCTAGGTTTTCATTGTTGGTAAGCGTTTGCCAGAGGTGTGCTTTAACTTTAGGTGAAAGTTTGCCTCAATTCTTCGAGACGCTTTGAAGAAAGGTACGCCCCTGCGGTTCCTTACGTGGGATCATTGTGTGTCATTGATGATTTGGGATGGCATTTCCTTGGACGCTCGCACCGAATTGGTTGTAAGATTGGTTGGAAGATCTTTAAATTTACAAGAGGTACTTGCCATTTGCCCCCAAATCGGTGAGATATTCTTGCTGATGTAGAGGCCCCACAGAGCACGTATTGTGTATCACTGCCAGAATGAGGTTAGAATTGAGTGCACGGTGTGGCCAGCTCGAAGCCCGGATTTGAACCCAATCGAACACATTTGGGACCAACTTAAGTAACGAGTACGACGGCAAAACCCAGGTCCTTAACAAATTAGAAGAGTTGGAAACGGCTGTTCTTCATGAATGGGAAAGAATTCCTCAGGATTTTACCAGAAAACTTTTCCAAGGAAAGCAATGGACGTGATTCGTGCCAGAGGTGAAAATACTTTGTTAAAATGGTCAAAAAGTTCTTTTTACATTTTTAATTGTTTTTGATTTTTTTTATATCTTATTTTTACTACCTAACCTATTTTTGATATGCAAAATATGAATAAGCCCCTAATTACATTAAAATTATGGGTGGTTTGTTAATTTTGTGTATATATACACTGAGAGGCTAAAAAGTCACTCTCGTTTTATTTTGGTAAATCGTTACTATTTTTATTGTTTGTTGTTTAGATATTTTTAAAGAAAAACATAAGATAGCTAATTAATGAAAAACATAAACTGAGTAAAACAATTTTACTGGAAATGTTGTTATGGAAATAAAGAAAAGAAAATGTTCAATTCAGTACGGAGTACCGCTTGTCTTCGACGTGGCATTGATTTTATGAGGTTTTGTAATGCTGTAGAATATTTTCATCCTCCACCAACTGCACAATTCCTAACTCTTACAAATTCTCTGTCATCACTGGGCGACTAAAACGTGGGGGGAACCCTCTTTGACAACTCGTCGCAAAGGTATTCGATAGGGTTTAGTCGGGACTACATGCTGGCCATATATCTCTCTCTGGGGTTTCTCCAAGCCCTCTCTCTGTCGTTAGAAGACTCAAACAAAACCTTAACTCATCCGAAAACAGGATATTAGTTCAATCTTGCTCCGACTAATTGATGGGATTTCTTGTGAAACTTAACCGAACTGCTCTGTGCCTTGCCAGAAGTTCTGGACCAGTGGCATGCCTTCTCGCACGTAATCGAGTTCTGAAAATCTTCCTTTACAATGCGCAAACTGATCTTAACATTTCTAACTTGTTGAAGTCGTTGCTTCAGCTCAACGGCGGTAGAAATTCGATTACGGAGTACATTCAAATCAATAAAACGGTCATCTCTCTGAGATGTGACACGATGGCGACCTGATTCGTGCCTTCTTGATTAACCTCCAGTATCTTCGTAGCGATGGAAGACACTTTGCACGGTTGTCTTGGGAATGTTAAGCACCCACATAAGCTTGACTTATTCCATTTTCCAACAATGCTATGATTCTAGCTGAACCTGTATCTCTTAAAACCATCACTTAAACAAATTCGAAACTTAAAAATGGTACATCTTAAAAAATCAAACCACCGGAATGTTAGAAAGAAGCTTTACAGAAAAAGCAACAAAGAAGAGATTATCTATTCAAAGATTTATTTACAAAATCCAATTGTAAACACGCAGGTTTTATCTGCGTTTTATTTACCTATAATCCTTTACAGCGAACCATGCGTTGTTGTAATATAATCAATGAAGGAATCTAAGAAAGATAATTAAAAATATTAAGGGTGGCCACTATTTTTCATCTTAGTGTACATCACCAAAAGCATAAAAATTGATCATATCCCCCCCCGGTAGTTCTGGATATATATATATAAAGTGGAAGGTTTATGGGCCGACAAACAGCTGAGGTCATCGCCGGCCCTCCGCATGTATTCCTTCTCTTTCCTGTCTTTCTCGCGTATTTTGTATTGAACTGCAGCCATTTGAGCATCTCGATCTGGTTACTGACTCTCTGCTTTTACTTGTATATTACGTCGTTATTTTAAAAAGCTAGCCTCTTGTTAGTACCTCAGGTTGTCAATTTAAGAATTGATACACAACATACAATACATAACATATACATCGCCACAAACATAGAAGTCTGGTCACATTCACTCCCCCAGAGTACTCGATATTCCTCGGGGCGGGGTTGAACCCACTCCATTCGCGCTAATAACTTACTTTTACTCTCCAGACGTCACACACTCACCCCAGAGTACTCGATATTCCTCGGGGCGGGGTAAATAACCCCTTCCTTTCATGCTTAAATTACATTCATTCCAACAGAGTAAAATATAAACAACATACAATACTAACATAAAAGTCTGGTCACATTCACTCCCCCAGAGTACTCGATATTCCTCGGGGCGGGGTCGAACCCACTCCATTCGCGCTAATAACTTACTTTTGCTCCCCAGACATCACACACTCACCCCAGAGTACTCGATATTCCTCGGGGCGGGGTAAATAACCCCTTCCTTTCACGCTAATAAATTACGTTCATCCTAATGTAATAACATAAACACCACACAAACACGACACAAACACTTCAGACACAACACAAGCACAGAACAAACACACATAAACTATATACATTTGAAGATCCCTATAGCCCTGAGGTACCGGTACAGCGATTTGTGCCCGCTGCCGTGCCCCAAGACTACGCACAGGTCCGACGATATTCCAAAATATTGCCTATAAACGTCTAGCCTTCTACAATTGAAAAGGTGCTCGACTGTTACTCTATCTTTGCATAATGGGCACCTTTGCGGTCGCTTTCCTGCTAGAAGGTGCCCATGTGTAATCCTTGTATGACCTATGCGTAGTCTTGTCAGTATGACCTTTTCCCTTTTTGACCCATTTTCCGTGAACCAGGGACCGACGTCTTTCTTAACCTGCCACAGTTTGGCAGGGTTATTCCTATTTTTCCGAGCCCAGTTCTGGATATTCCTTGGGTTCGGATTGTACAACTCCCACTTCTTCCTTTCACTCAAAAAGATTACATTCATTCTAATAAATTAACATTAAACTTAGTGAATTTGGAATTGTCTTCAGCACAATTTTGTTTCAACAGTTTTCTTATTTTATATTTCGATATTTATTTAAAAATGAATTTAATTATTTAATGAAAATCTTACATAAAATAATATCGAAAAATGGCAAAAAGGAGGAAAAACTCGAAAGGTGGGGTTGAGATGGGGAGTTGATGTCCGAGTGGATCGAGGTCACGATAGCTCAAATAGTAGAGGAGCGGCGTATTTAGCCGAAGGTCGTGGGTTCGAATCCCGCTCATGAATCAATAAAACTAACTAACTTTTTCATTTCAACCAATACCTTACAAAAAGATTAATTAATTAAACTTATTGTTATACAATTTTATATTTTTGAAAAGACTGTATTAAATTGTCCTAATAAAAAATAATGGACATCTAAAAGCTGAGTAGAAAGTAAAGCAGTCTCTGATTTTTATTATATTGACAATTAAATTTTACCAAACATATGGATAATTGAAGATTTGTATTAATCTTGCATAGTTGAAGATTATGAACTAATTTTTAACTGAATTCACTTTCTTAAAGTCGACATTTTTAATAGGAATATTTCTAAAGAATAAGGCTTATAGATAGGTTAAACTAAATATTAAATTGGCACAATAAATTTTTCAAAAGTAACACTGGGAAATACACAAACAAATTAATGTTCAATCTATAAGTTGTAATGGAGGTATAAGTTGGCCAGATATAGTTTTGGGGTGGCCCAGGAAACTGCTTAATGTAGAATTGAAACAACTTGACCCAAACTGCTAATCTCTTGGTATAACAAATGTTGTATTCGATTATTGTTAACAAACATTCTATTGAGAATGCAGAATGGGAGTGAATCTTGACAGTATCGGACATTCCTCTGTCGAAGAGTAATTGATAAGCGCCTGTCGTTCTGCCTCAGTGGGTCTTCAATGGGATTAGGATTAATTTCGAGCCCCTTACCTGCGTACGATTATTGGACGACCTTGTTTTCCTTTTAATATTTGATCGATGCTTTTCAGGACCGGCGAGGAAAAAGGATGAAGAAGTACCTGCCGAAGCTGAAGACGGACTGAGCCCGAAAAAAAGCAGTCTGCTTCGTGTACCATCGTTCAACGGAGGCGGTTCGAGCAATTGGGAACAATCAAACGAAGTAATTGAATTTTCTTTCATCTTGAAAAGACATCCTACTTGTTTTAATTTTCCAGGGAAACCTTCTTTCGCCCGGAAATAGCCCTCAGAGAAGGAGGAGCAGTGTTATGTTCAGCGAAGTCGTCCTTCTGCACGGTGGGACGCAGTCTGAAACGCCCGTCATGTCTGAAAAAATAACTCAAGCCGGTGACGGATCCTTAAGACCTCCTAATCAGGTAATATATTTAAACATAAGAATTAAAATACTTGCCATGTAGCGAAATATCACGACTATCACCACCATTTATTAAGTAAATTTTTGATCTGACTGGTGAGCAGCAATAAATTTGCCGGGCTCCCTGTGTTAAATTGTGAGATTTCTCCATGGGATCTGCAAAGTGATTAGCCTGAAGGATGGTGAATGGACAAATCTAAAGGATCATCAACCCCCGAGACCCCCCCCCCCATGGAGAAATGTCACTACTTATTTAACTGGGATAAGTGGCATGGTGTTATACGGTTTCATCCAGTTTATTTTATTTTATTATAACTTTTTTCAATCTCATTTTCCCCAATGACCTCCCACATATCAATCACTTCTGGAGTCTCTCTCAGCTCCGTTTTTCTTTGTTTGCTGTTACATTAACTTCCCAAAATCCATAAAATCATGCTCCCGTCACCTTTTTGCAGATGACTCCCAAATTTAACATTCCTTCAAATCCTCTCTTATAAGCAGCAATTGTAATAACTCCGGAAGACTTAAACGTAGCTCCTAGGCCGCTGAATAATGGGCTTAACTTGAACTTCGAAAAATATTGTTTGGATCCAATTCTCTCCTTCATTCCTTACCAACCTACCGTTTAATATTAAAAATCACCCTATTTCTCCCTGTCCCACCGACAAGAACCTTGGGATTGTCCTTGATTCAGACTTTGTCCTTCAATCCCCATATCTAGCAGATTTTCGACTCTGCCTGGAGGGCCTACTGATACTGTACACCGACTTGATGTGGTTACAACCTTCCCGATAAAGTAATACTTCCTCGACTTCTTCCTCTATCAATGGACGTCTTCTTATTCCCCTCCCTACATACCTTACTCTACATACACCTCATCTCCTTACCTTCAAATCCTCTGTACACTCTCATAAAACTCGCGTTCGCCCTTCTGACCTCTGTTATTCCTTCCTCATCCATCCGTCCATCCTAAGCAATTCCCTTCCACAGTCTGTCCGTCGAGCCCCATTCCTTCCTATATTTTATGTCCAGTCCTTTTTATTACCACTTGGCACCGAAGGTTTGTAACTGTGTTTAATTTCCATAGTAGAATATTTTCACTTTATATGTATATATTTTAGTAAATGGAGGTCTTTGAAACACCTTATCAAACTTGAATCTCGATAAATTCTTTATATTCATCATTAATTATTATAAAGCAAACTTAAGATCCATAAAAAAGTTGTTTTTTTTTTTAATTCAATACTACTCCGAGCAACAAACTTTGAAGAAATTAAGTCTAAGTAGGATAAAAATAGCAATTATTGAAGTTTCTTCTGTAACCGTTACAAAGCAATATTTATAATTTTCACCTTTTACGGGGTTGCAAACACTGTAAAGTTATGTAATTTAAACTTGTGGAAGAACACGACTTTGCCAATTATGTGATTTCCTATTTTCCGAGCCAGTTATTAAAATAATTCGTAATACGATGTTTATATTTTCATATTAATGTTAAACTCAATAATTTTAATTAAATACATTGCAATTTTTAATTAAAGTGTTGCTAACATAAAATATTAATTAAAACAGTCATTTTCAAAAAGTCACAAATCTCTTTACAAATTTTAAAGAAAAACCTTTTCGTGACCACGCTTATGACAGGACGAAGTTTCTTGTAATCAGTCGGTACACAAATAGCCTAACGCTAATATGGGTCCCAGGTCATGGGTAGATAACCAGGCAGCAGAATACTGCTAAAAAATGGGAGCCTCAGAACAACTCATACGCCCAAATCCATTTTGTAGCATAAACTGTACCCAAATTAAAAAATAACTTGAGTAACTAAAGAACACAACATCAACTGAGAGCATAAACCAGACAAGCAAAAAGACCACTCGCAAAAAAACTGGGAAAACCGTTTTGGAGCCAAGCAGTTCTTGATACCATGGACCTAAAATGTATTCTCTACATCACAAAAGAAATTAAAATCTTCCAGGAAATAAGTTAGGAGAGCACAATAGACGAAAATTTAAGTGATAAAGGGCATCCCTACGACTCGAAATGAGGACTAAAATATTTTGCAAATCCACGAGCGGACTGTGTTGTAAAAACGTCATAAACAAGTTAATGAGAAACCTGTTCTAACTGTCTGAAACTATTTAGAACTTTTAATTCCTATGATTAAACGGCTGACTTCTACACTTAATTCACACAGTTTAGAAGAAAACAATTGTGACAAATGGAAAAAAATAAAACTGTAATAAGTTACTCACTTAACTATATTTATTACGTGTGGTGATTAGTGACCGTTAGTCGATAATTATTCGGAGATCATGGGATGCGGTCTGGTGTGACGTAGATTGTAGAAAAAAAATTTCTTTATCGTGCCAACGTTTCGATAGTTATTGAGATCATCTTCAGGGATCAAGTGTTTGTTTTGTGCGTAATTGTGCCATTCTTGTGTGTCGTGTTGAGAGTGCCACACAAGGAGTGCAAGTTGCACTCTCAACAGGACTGTTTCTATCTCCTCTTGTAGATCTATTCTGTTGCAGTTAAATCCAATTATTTTTATGGTGATACTTTACGGCGGTATTTATTATTTTAGCAGGGCGGTACAACTACAGAAGCGATGACCTGCCAAGAGCTGCTCGCGTTGAGCGGTGCTTTGAGTGCTGCTCTTCCGACCGGGCAGATCGCCCTCGACTCTTTGTTCACGTCTTTGAGCAAAGGCGTGCTCCAGTCGCACTTCACCTGGGCGGATACTGAACTCGCTTTGAAACCGACTGTAAGTATCCCCGAGTTCGCGGTACTTCCCGACACATAAATTCTTCCGGTTTTCAGGAAAACCAGAGGAGGAAAGAACCGGGATGCCTTATGAAGGGGTGCCTTTGCTTCCGTTACTGTTTTTTAGCCGGCATTCGCCGAGCGATAAAATCGTTAGTGGAGCACAAATATTTTCAGCAGGGGATTCTCCTCGCCATCCTCATCAACACCCTCAGCATGGGCATTGAACACCACAACCAAGTGAATACCCGATTTTTTCGTCGATTTCGCATCGGTTTTAATCGAATGTTGTTTTGTTCCAGCCTGAACAACTGACCCTGATAGTGGAAACGAGCAATATCGTTTTTAGTTCTATATTCGCTCTAGAGATGTTATTTAAAGTGATAGCCGAAGGTCCTTTTGGATACATTAGCAACGGATTTAACGTTTTTGACGGAGTCATTGTCATACTGAGGTAATATTTGCTCGAAAATCAGCCTCCGATGCGATATAAAACACCGATACTTTCTACAACTTAGACCCTATCGCATGCAGGCATCCACGATCGGCAGTGCTATTCAGTTCTTTGATTGAATTTTAAAAAATACGCTTGCTGAATTGTTTCAGCGTTATCGAACTAATCCAAACGTTTCTCGGAGAAGGCGAGGGCAGCTCAGGGTTGAGCGTTTTGAGAACGTTCAGACTGCTAAGGATCCTAAAGTTGGTCAGGTTCATGCCCAATCTCAGGAGGCAGCTTTTCGTCATGCTCAGGACTATGGACAACGTCGCGGTTTTCTTTTCGCTTCTTATTCTCTTCATATTTATATTCAGGTAAGCTGCATCCAACCAGAAAGTGATTGTGCAAGCCGATTTACGGAAACGATTACAATTCGACAGCTTTCAAAAGTGACAATTTCCAGTCTATTAGTACAGGCTATGGCCATTTCGGATTAGCAACTAGCTTGGTCCGCATTTTTTCAAACAACTAATAAACGAAACAAATAAAAATACAAACATAATTTACAACCATGATTTAACGATCCGATCCGTCTTCTTCATTAGATACATTCTGATAAATCATACACTCGATCTTAGCTTACCAACAATTATTTGAGATTTAGAAATAATCTTTCTTTAGTTCATCACGTCATCTTCATTCATCTTAAGTGTTAATAAACCAGCTGAAAAATTACAGGTGGTACAAGCTAGTTGAAAATCTGACAATGAACGATTATATGTTTGAAAGCTTATGTAGAAACATTTTTTAATGTCGGATTGCTAATTCACTAAAAGTCGTATATAAGCCATTATAAGCAGCAGCATTGAGAACAATATCCACCATACTAAAACATGGACTCTTTTTTCTTTTTTCTTTTACTTTTGTAATTTTTCTATATACATTAAAAGTAAATATTGTGTAAACATATAGAATGAGGTTGATATTGCTGCAAGGCTTGGCGGGCTGATCATATGAGCTGCATCAACCCCCCCAAAAAATTAGATTGCCCATTTTACCTTCAATGTTTGTTGACTTAACAGAAACTATCTTTGACAATTTGCCCATCCCTATCACAAATAATGTACAAATCCATTATTTGCCTCAGTGTACCCCCTTCCCTTTATTGAATCCTTTCAAAAGTAAACCAGGCGGTTTTTGTAGGTGACACAAATTCAAATTTTCTCTGTTGAAACATTTTTTTACGGGCAGAGGTGACCCTATTTCAGTTTTCGTTTTTATTTTGCTATATATTTGTTTTTTCTTCCAACTGAGTGGTTTGTAATGGAAACCAACTCTAGAAACGAGTGTTAATGGTGGGTGTGCCTCTAATTGGTTGTAAGGGATTATTTTCAGATTACTCTGAGCTCGGCTTGCAATACGCCGAGTAATGGGGGGCCTTATCATTTTGAACCAATCTACTTTGATCCATAAGTCAATTGATTTCCATTACAAGCTGTGTTAATCCCCCCTTTTTTAAATCAGCCTTTCTTTTCTTAAAATAGCTAATTAACAAGACAGGATCATACACAGACAAAAATAGCTACAGACGATTTTTTTCCGTAACTATTTTTGTTTTTAATTCGATGATATTGTAACGACCACCTCTCCGATTTTTTTGTTTCTCTTCAGTATTCTTGGGATGAACCTATTTGGATGCAAGTTTTGTGAACATACTACTGATGGGGATGAATCTTGCGACAGAAAGAATTTTGACTCGCTACTTTGGGCGCTTGTCACTGTTTTCCAGGTACAGATATTGAAATTCCCCATGGCAAAAAGAAATAAGAAAGTTGAAACTGTGGACACAAACCACAAGTTATCCTTTCATTTTTGTGGCTTTGCTCGTTTCCTAACCTGGGTTTCTTTGGTTGAAAAAAAAAAAAAATTCATTCAAACCCGATTGAAATTAATGCTTTGTTCATTTTATGTTTTGAGTTGTTTTCTTCATTTCATTAAATAAACAGTGTTCAAATTTTGGTGGAGTTTCCTACAAAAATGTAATTAATTCTCAAGTACATATTTGAATTCATATTACACAAATAAAGATAAATTATTTTATAACATTTTTACTATTGTATGTAATTTATTGCAAATAGAATTTGAATATGGTACAATAAAAGTCAAACAGTATAGAAAAAGTTTATCTTTAAACCTAAATGATATTATATGATAAGTATTTGTACTTTATTGCTGTGATTCACAATGAATTAATCATTATAAATTATTAACATTTTTATCATTTTAGACATAAATATTATTACATGCTTTAAAACTAATTTAATTTTCATTTTCTAAACAACAATTCTGGAGAAAACATCTCTCGAATGTTCATTGCTGGAAAGCAAAATTTTCGCATTAATAGGATGTAATTTCACTGCAGTTCAACCAAAGTAACCGTCCTTTCATGCTTATGCTTCATTGATAAATGTAACGAATGACATCATGGCCTTGTCTTCAGATAGCAGGTATGGTATACATCATAAACGATTGTATAAACCATATTTTTGATGATCGGGAAGTGGGGTTGTGCACCGCATTCTTTAATCACAAGACAAAACAAAACACATCAAGGCCCTTGAACAGATTTTTAGTCGATGATGAAATTTCATAAGTTTTAACATAAGATGATTTGACAAATACAACAACCTGGCATATCCCAAGAAGCCACAAACCTTAGAAAAGACTGTCTGAACTTTCCCCAGATACTGATTGCATTTTCAGTGTACTAATAAAATATAATAAATTTTTGATGTCTTACAGAATTTCATATTATTTCAACAAAAACTAACCTTTTTTAAATTTCTGCATGTGCATGACTTTTTCAATATTGTGTATATACAATAATTTTGAATTTTTTTCTCGTGTTTTTGCAATAAAACAAGCACATTTGAACACTAATTGTATACATTTTGTAAAGACTACATTGTCTTGTAAAATGTTTTTTTCATCTTGATAATCTATCTGTTTTTTGTTTTTGTTTTTTAATTTGCTCACACCCCACAATCTATGACGACATCATGACAACTTTCTTCTTGGTATTTTTTGTTCCTCGACATTTTTCAAATTACTTTTTCTCACTTCCTCGTCACCTCTGTCAAGGAATAAACATCGACAATAAACAATAAAAAATCAATTTTTCCTTGAGCCAGAGGAAAAATTATACAAATTTGTATGTATTTTCAAAGATGGCATTTTGTTAAAGAAAAAAGTAGTAACTATTTAAGAGTTTAATTAACATGTGTCACATACTAAACACGTACCACAGTAGAAATCCCAAATAAATGGCCTTAATATAATAAGTGCCATGCTTTCAACAATTCCAGCAGACAGTCCATTTCCTTAAACTGGTAGAGTCGCATTCCATGCTTTGTAGTTAGGCTCTTATTATTTTTTATTGTTGTTTTTACTATTACTACTTTTTAAAAAAAAAAAAAGCTGCAGCACTGCACTACTCATACCTAAATTTGTCATTGTCTTACTAATCTAATATTACTCTTTGTACTACTTCTTTATATTTATAGGTTGAAATTCGTGGAAAGATGTGCCATGTGCTGTATTTTGCTTTGTTGTTTAATAATACATTACAATAATGCTTTTTAGAGCTTATAACTCTAATTTTTATTAATATGTGTGAAATTATTAATTTGCTATTATTGTCAAAATAATAATTTCATTGCACGCCAGGTAGAATTAATATTTTTTTAATTAAAGCCAATAGTCATTAATTGATGATACATTTTAATCCAGTGTTACATTTTTAGCTTTAAACTTAAATTGATATGCACCACACTCTTATACTGAAAAATGGGGAAAAGTTAAAAATTTCCAGATGATCAATAACACACTTGATGGTGATAAGATGTATTTGTATATAATTACTAACATCTTTTACAGTATCCTTGTACAAACTTATTTGCCTTTACTTTATCTAAGCATGCAAGCGCTAGTTCAAAACTATTCCTACTCTATTAATATAAGTTCTGGTTTGTAAATATAAAAATTAAAATCAAAAAACATATTTATTACTCCATCAATGTTATTATTATCGAAAACTACAAAAAACTGTAAAATACATGTGAATAAAAATTCTAAAGTTTAAAATTAGTAAGTTAGAAACAAAAATTTTTAAAAATTGTGTCTTGGGTATTTCAGATATTTATCTAATCTACACCGCACATTAAAATTTTTATTTTACAATGATATGACTTTTTCAATTTGGTGTTTTTAACAATAAAATAGAACAAGATGAAATATATTCNATATATATATATATATATGTATATTTGTAGTTTCACTTCTCCCCATTCTTCATTATATTTTATTATGTTTTGTGTTTAGTTTTAATTTGCTTTAACTTTTTTGATAAATAATGAATAACAAAAGCCATACCATACAAAATTCACATAATAAAAACTAAAACATTTCTCTTACTTTATTCCAACGAGAATGTACATATTTAAATTTTTCATCAGTTTAAATACTTTTAATTCATGTTTTTCTCGGTCAGTCGGGGTTGTTATGGTAGTAGGGAGACATATGCTGACGAGGGGATGGTTTTCAGCATTCTGGGGATGTATCTATTTGGTGGTAAGTTCTGTACACTCGCTGACGGTTCGAGAGAATGCAACTGCAAAGAGATATTGGCGAAGAGGCCCGACTGCGTCTGTGATAGAAAACACTTCAACACGATGTTATGGGCCACTGTGACCGTTTTCCAGGTACACCAAGACACAACAGTTAAAAAATGAATTTTTTAATGCAGTTTCAACAGGTATACATGCCAGGCGTCAAAAATATCATGAAATGTAATGAAGACACATAAAGATACACATATCTTACAACTTAAACTCTATGAAGAGAGTAACTTTTCATTATTTAGATCAAATTATTTCTTTTTTGTTAATATTTAAAACATGAGTATTAACAAAAACATCGGCTTTAAAATTAAAATTCAGTTTTTAAACATTTTTCAATACAAACCAAGTTAAAATATTTTATTCTGCTTAAAAAAAATAATTTTGCTTTATGCTTTAAACATATATGATATGTGATTGCTCACTTGTGACATACTTGTCGTTTAATTTGAATCTTAAATCTTGAAATCATCATATGCTTGGCTCCATGTTTGAAACTTTTAATTTTGCTTTTTCAAAGGCTTGCTTTTTTTAATATAAAAATATGTTGTTTGTTGTATCAAAAATTAGTAGTGTATCAGCAATCTACATTAGCTGCTGCTATTTTTCTTGTAAAATTTTTTTTCAAAATTACCAACTTTGAAATCTTTTTTAAATTGGCTCTTCATTAAAGCTTTCTTTACGCATTTCTCATGCTTCTGCGTACATATATTAGCAGTCCATTGCAAAAATATCTAATACAGCACTGTTTTTGTCAATGGCCAAAGACATAAAACCTGCTTTCAATTTTCACTTTAGTAATCTACTCGTCTAAGTCACACACCACACTTTAAATTTGGTATTTACATAAATCCATTTTTAAACCCTTGGCCTTAATTTTTGCCTTAAAATGTATAATCAGGGCTAATTTTCTAGAAAAAGCCTATGCTCGTTGAAATCAATATTTAAAACATTTCATCGGAACATAAAAGCACAAGTTTTACAGCTATTTTTATCTCATAATTTGAGTTTTTATTGACATTACCATAAAGCAGTAAATTTAGTAATAGAATTGTGCTTTTTTTTCCCCCATAAATTTATGTGTAGATGTTATTGACTAAAATGCAAACTGCTAGCTTTTGAAAATTTTTGATAACTGCTTCGTTACATTTCAACTAAGAAATAATTGATAACAAATGTCACTCAATCACAGGCGCCTTCATGTACACCAAGCATAACATATTTATACATATTTAACTATCAAACCCCATGCTCAAGATGTTTTACAGTTTATGTCCCCCAACCACCTTACCAGGTAATTGATGTATAGTATGTTTATGTTTATCAGTGTTATTTTTTTAATAGCACAGATTATTTAGCAATTTTAAGTAGATAATACTTTACTTTAAAATCATTTTTTTTTAATATTCATGTATATATATTTATATAGTATATAACATTACCTCAACATTTTATAATAAAAAAAACACTAGTGTGCACGATTTTTAAATTTATAGTTTTAAATAATAACATTTGAACAACAGTACATTGATATCCCTTCATTTGCATATTTTATTATTAACAACTTATCTGTAAAAAGCTAAAATATCAAATGATTATCAAAACATGGTACCAATTTTAACTTGAATTGCAATAATTTAATTTCTAAAATTCAGAGAAAAATTAATAAATAAGGCTCAACAATGATGTGATCTTGTAAATTTTAACGTCTCTTTAACTCTAGATTTTGACGCAAGAAGATTGGAACGTCGTTCTTTTCAATGGCATGGAAAAAACAAGTCATTGGGCTGCCCTGTATTTTGTCGCCCTAATGACTTTTGGCAACTACGTATTGTTCAATTTGCTTGTGGCCATCCTAGTCGAAGGATTCTCATCAGAGGTAAGCAAAAAAATTTCCCATTCCTTTCCAAGTTCTGTTACAATTTTAAATTGAATTGTCAATTTTATATCGGTTTTTTTTTTTTTTTTTGTTAAACTTCAAATTTTACCTTAACAGAATTTAAATTATTTTTGAAGTGACTGCCAACCTGATCTAAGTGTTTTCTTTATTTTAGAGACATGAGCGAAGAGAAAGAGAACAAAGAGAACTAGCAAAAAAACAAATGGCACTGCATCGTAAATATTCTGAATGTTTCAGCGAAGATGTTTACAGTTCATGTTCTCTTTCTGAGCAAGATAGCTACATGCAGGTACATAATCGAGTCTAATTTAAAAAAGAAATGTAATTTATTGTAAATGTGTATAATGGTTTAAAACAGCAAGAAGCGAGGAGTGAGAGGGAAGAGTATAATCGCAGATTAAAAGAAAACGGTCACAAAGATAAAGAAAACAGCTGGAAATTAAAATCAAGCCAGAACAAAGAGGACTTCAACTTGAAATGTAACATTCAAAAAGGTATGCAATATTAATCCCTAAGCTGTAATTTATTTTAGATTAGTTGGTATCAATTGAATTGCGATAATATTATTTCCTGCATCTATGGTTTGAAGATGATGTTTCAGAAAGCCAGATGCTGACTCAGGCACCGATAATAACTCATACAGCCGCAACGCCTCAAGACTCCCCTAATGCCACACTTGACGGTAGCGCCAGGGACTTTAACAACAGGCTCAGCTCTTCCATGGCTCTACAATTTTATTCAAGCTCTCTTTCCATCGATTCAATCGATTGCTCAATGGTAAAGATTATTTTTGGAATTTTTCGATCTTTTTGTAATTTCTTTGCTCTTGCAGTCATCGCAAGTGAGTATACCCGGAATGCTGAAACCCCCGACACTGACGGTCAACAATTTGACTGCACCTCATCAACACTTCAGAAGGAGAGCGAGCGTAAATAACGGTGCCAGTAGAAAAGATCCATCCCAAACGTAATAAAAATGGTATATTTTGACATGAACCATTTTTAATGCTTTCTGTTTATGTTTTAGTTCACTATTTCAAAGACGATGCTCTTGGAAGATGTCCAGAAGTTCATTAAGGAGAAAATCACGATCAGGTTCAGAGCCTGATGAAGAGCAGAATATAGTTTTGAATAACAACAATCATTTAATAGCCAGTCCAATGTAATCATTATTTTTTTTTGTTTAAATAATCTAATTCTTGTTTTGAAAATTATTAAAATTTCTGTTTTTCTGATTTGTTTTAGACAATCAGAACTTATACATTGTAATGGCAACCTGATAGAGACAATACGAAATGACACACAAAGTAGTAAAAATTCTAGTATTATTAAACTAAGTCCTCAAACTTCAATACGAAGTCAAAATTCTAATAATTCTGAACAACAATGTGCTCAGGTTTATAAATTATAATAATTTAACTTATTATTATTAATTATTCAGAAATCGTGAGATGCGGTCTGGTGTGATGTAGGTTTCAGAAAAACATTTTCTTCATCGTGCCAACTTTTTGATCTTTATTGAGATCATCTTCAGAGCCTGGGATTTACAAACATTGTTTACATTTAACATGTAAGGATGTGTTTGTAAATCCCAGGTTCTGAAGATGATCTCAATAAAGATGGAAACGTTAGCACGATAAAGAAAATGTTTTTCTGAAACCTACATCACACCAGACCGCATCTCACGATTTCCGAATAATTATCGATTAACGGTCACTAATCACCACACATTATTATTATTATTAATTGAATCATTAAATCTCAAGATTGTGCTTTCTTTTTAGGTGTCATGGGTAGCCAGCGGTGGCTTATCGAGACAAAATTCAATAGGAGGTGCAAGTGTTTGTAGCAATCAAAACTCTCAAAATTTAACTCCCACAGTCACTCAACCAATATCTTCGCAACATCTAAAGGTTTATTAAATTAACTAAACCATTTTATTTACAAATTTTGATTAATTTAAATTATTACAAAATACGGTTAACTGTTAACTATCTCGATATAATTGATAACAGCCTTTACTGTTATAACATTGAACATTGATGACACACCACTCAATTTATTTAGTTTAATAGTTTAATTTGGTGGTATTCCACAGTGGGTCATTGATGTTATGGGGTGGCACTTCCTTGAATGCGCCGAATTGGTTGTTGTGCGAGAAAGCTCTCTAACTTTGCTGAGGGACTTACAAGACATAATCAAAGAAATGTAGTGCCATTAGCCCCACATTGGTGAGAAATTCTTGCTATAATGCAGGATAGTGCCAGGCAATAGTAGCATCGGTAGCCGCAACGGTTTAGGCGTTGACACGGCGCTCATCACTGTAAGGTGAAGGTCCCGGGTTCGAATCCAGCGGCCCTGCATTCGAACCCGACATACTTACAAATGGGCTTTTTTTCAACTGGCACCCTGAGGGTTTATATGATCTCTGCTGTTGCGAACCCTCATAGAAAAAAAAAAAAATAGTGGATGACTACTTGAATGTGGTTGGAATTGAGTGCATGGTGTGGCCAGATCGAAGCCCAGATTTAAACCCAATCGAACATATTTGGGACGAACTTAAGCGACGAGTAGGATGGTGAAACCCAGCTCCTAGCACCCTAGAAGAATTGGAAATGCTTGATCAATAAGAAAAAATTCCTCACGATTTTACCAGAAATCTTTTCCAAGTTCATATTATATTTTCACAGACACATCATTTAAAAATTTTATTATCAAGTTATACACACTGGTATGCTTGAATAGAGCTCTACTTTCCGTAGAGCTTTCCTTCTTTCTCCAGATCCTGGTAGAATTTATTTCTGGCTGACGAATGTTGGCTGCAGTGAAACATTATGTACATTAGGTCCTCCTTTACTCCGCATGTGTCACAATTTGGGTGTTGTTTTGTGCCGATCATGTGAAGATACGCTGCGCAGATGCCATGGTTTGTTCTTAACCAATGTATGACGGTTATGTCATTTTGTGCCATGTCTAGTTTGTTAAACCACGGTATTGCTTTCACAAGTGGAAATAATGTTTTATAAGCCATTCCCTTATCCGAGGCAGAGTATTCAGTTTGCCATTCTATTTGAATTCTTGTTTCCAATATTTGAAAAAGGTCTGTGTAAGGAATCCTTATGATTCTAGGGGTGAGTAACTGTGTGGCATTTTTTGCAAGTTTGTCGGCTTTTTCATTGCCGTAGATGCCCGTATGTCCTTTAATCCACACAAAAGAGACCTTTTTTTTAAAAGTGGTAAAGTTGTTAACAGTCTTTTTTATATCAACTACAATATAATTCTTAATGTTAGTAAATGTGTTTTGCAAGCACTGGATTGCACTGAGGCTGTCTGTGCAAATTATAATGTGATTCGTTATAGGAAGGTTAAGTGTAAAAAAAGTTAGTGCTGCCTTAATTGCTAATAATTCCGCCGAATAAATTGATATCTCTGCCAGCAGAGGAATTGATTCCCCTTTATTGATGCTAGGGCAGAACCAGGAGCATCCAACCTTACCAGACATGAGGGATCCATCAGTGTAAACAGTTAAGCGGTCCTTAGGGAAAAGTTCCTGAAGATCAGCAAGCACTTGTTAATTAACCGCTACAGGATTTTGTCCGGAGTAGTCTTTTAGTACATAGCAATTAATGGGGTTTCTAATTATTTTTAGCTCTGAAGAGAAAATTGGAAGGGTATCTCTTTATTCGATTTGTTCTTGATATTTTGCCAGAGAGGTGGTAATCGGTGGAGGTTTTTTCTTTTGTCAATATTTTTTTGTTAGATTCATTATGGACAAATCACAGATGTGCTGAGCTAGAGATGTTTTTTTCACCATTTGGCATAACACAAACCATCCTGCCAGTTTTTCTCTTCTATGTGACAGTGGCTGATCGTTACTTTCAGCTTTGATGACATCAATGGGGGTGCTCTTAAGAGACCCCAAACAAGTTTTGAAAGATTTGTGCTGTATGATGTCCAATTTCTTTAATTTTGTTCTAGAAGCTTGTCCATAATAAATTGATCCAAATCAAAATCCAAGAAATTTGATTTCATTAGCCACCGAAAATGATTTTTTAGCCAGGGTCAATGTGTCAGGAAGAGTAGAGTTCATGGATCTTGTAAAATAACATATTTTTGATTTTTCTTCAGAAATATTTAATCCGTTGGTGTATATCAAGTTCAGTAATTTTGTCACCGTCGAATCCATGGCCTCTATTGCCGCTTCTGCAGATTTGTGAGTGGAGTAGACGCATATGTCATCCACCAGTTGAATAATTTTAACATTTTTTGTTATTACATTTTCTACATCTGCAACGTATAGCAAATACAGCAGTGGGCTTAGTATTCCTCCTTGGGGCAATCCAATACTAGCTACTACAATATGGTCCCCTTAAAACTATTATTGGTAATTAATAAGTTTAGTAAATACAAACAGTTAATAAACTTACAATTGCAGTAATGTAAGTAGATTTTCATATTTGTTAACCTTGAGAATTATTAATAATAGTTTCAAAATGCTGATGAAGATATTCCTCTAAAACTCATCAAAGAAAATGAGTTTTTGAACTTTTCTAATACAAAATTATATTCATTGTTATAATTATTATTGGAATAACTCTCATCATGACTATGTAGCTGATATGCTGATATAGATAAAAAGCCTTAGACAAAATAATTTTTCAGGTCACTACAACAAATAATTCAAACTTGAGTATACCTCAGCGAATTGAAGATTGCAAATCGATCAATATCAGTGCAGGAGCTTGTGGTCTTCGGCAGCCGTCACCTCTTCCCAAAGTAAAGGAAACCCCTCCAATTGAAGAGTCGACAAGCGAACCCTCTGTGCCCCCTGTACCAAAAGTTTTTTTTTTTTTTAAACAAGAGGGCTGTTTTGTGGAGAGGGAGGACTACGCACTGTACATATTCCCTCCTGATAATTCGTATGTTATATTAAATTCCAATCAAATCAATAGTTAACTATTGTAACTCGTTGACTATTTCAGATTTCGTCTAATGTGTAAGACATTCGTCGAGCAAAAATGGTTTGACAACGTAGTTTTATTTTTTATCGCCCTAAATTGCATAACTCTGGCCATGGAGCGCCCCAATATCCCTCCTTATAGCAAAGAGAGGCTGTTTCTTGCAACAGCAAACTATGTTTTTACAGCCGTTTTCAGTTTAGAAATGTTTGTTAAGGTAAATTCACAATCTCAGAGATCATTTGACCAATAAAAGTTTAACTATTTCATTTATTATTATAGGTGGTTGCTACAGGAATGTTTTATAGTAGAGATGCTTATTTCACTTCAGGTTGGAATGTGATGGATGGATTGCTTGTGTTAATCTCTATAATAGATTTACTCATGTCAGTAATCTCTGAAAGTAGCCCACGAATTTTTGGTATTCTTAGGGTGAGTTAAATTTTCATTATTTATTAATATTTTTATATTACAAACGCACATAATTAATAATTTGCTTTTATAGGTTTTTAGACTACTCAGATCATTGCGTCCATTACGTGTAATTAATCGAGCTCCTGGTTTAAAACTGGTAGTTCAAACACTTCTATCCTCATTAAAGCCTATCGGAAACATTGTGCTCATTTGTTGTACGTTTTTTATTATATTTGGGATTCTTGGTGTTCAGGTGAGCTGTGCAAAATGAACGAATATGGATTAATATTTTACACAAAAATTTGTGTTTTAGATGTTCAAAGGAACCTTTTTTTATTGTGATGGCCCAAATATAAAAAATGTTAAAAACAAGTCTGACTGTTATGCAGCTCATAAACAAAACAGATGGCTGAATAGAAAATACAACTTTGATGATCTCGGCAAAGCACTCATGTCACTTTTTGTACTTTCATCGCGAGACGGCTGGGTCAACATAATGTACACTGGATTAGACGCTGTTGGTGTAGATCAACAAGTATGATTCCATTGGGATATAAACCATATAAAATGTATTGTACGTATTTTTTTCTAATCGTACTTTTACAGCCTCAAGAAAATTACTCGGAATGGAGATTGTTGTATTTTATCGCATTTATCCTGCTTGTCGGATTTTTTGTGCTCAACATGTTTGTCGGAGTCGTAGTCGAAAATTTTCACAGATGCAGGGAAGAACAAGAGAAGGAAGAACGAGTCAGAAGAATGGCCAAAAGGGCCAAACAAATGGAGAAAAAGAGAAAAAGTACTAGTCGACAATCTTCAGGAATAAAAAAAATTCTCTAACAAATTTCTGTTGCAGGAATGCATCAACCTCCATACTACACTAACTACTCAAAATCTAGGCTTTTTGTCCATAATGTTGTAACATCAAAATATTTCGACTTAGCCATTGCAGCTGTAATTGGCCTAAATGTTATAACAATGGCAATGGAATTTTACATGATGCCAAAAGTAAGTTTGCGTATTTACACAGACTTTACAAATGGGCAATAACAGAAATTAATTCAATATGAAAATAAATCCATTAAATGTTAACAACTCATTTGCCAACAGAAAAAATAAATATTGTTCACTTATGTGTCGTGATTAGTGACCGTTAATCGATAATTATTCAGAAATCGTGAGATGCGGTATGGTGTGATGTAGGTTTCAGAAAAACTTTTTTCTTTATCGTGCCAACGTTTCGATCTTTACTGAGATCATCTTCAGGGCTCAAAGTGTTTGTCTTCTGTGTAATTGTGCCATTCTTGCGTGTCATATTGAGAGTGCCCTGAAGATGATCTCAATAAAGATTGAAACGTTGGCACGATAAAGGAAATGTTTTTCTGAATCCTACATCACACCAGACCGCTTCTCACGATTTCTGAATAATTGTTCACTTATATTAATAAATATATATATATATATATTTAGCAGTCATAATTGACCGTATTAACTATATTATTTTGTTTATATCCCACTCGCACTTGCTTTTTTATCTCAACCAAGACCTTTGATTAAAAGTATAATCAGTTAAAATTGTTCTCTTATTTAAAATACATATTTTATATTGTTATATACCTGATAACCAGACCATGTTTGTGCGTTTTTCATTTCTTATTGTTTTAAAACCATCAATAAATATTTTTATTTACTTAGGAAGATTAGATGTTTGCATCACTGAATACCAAGAGGATAATGTGTCAATTCATAAAGAAAAGTTCTCTGTAAATTATAAAATATTTTCTTTCTCATGGCTTCAAAAATGATCAGTGTCTGCTTATAATACGAATTTAAGCTTGGTAATAAGCCGGCCAAGGCAGCTTGTAAAATTTGCATTGCATTCTGGTGATAAAACAATAAGAGAGCACATTGCCCAAAAGTGGTTCAACAAATTTGCTTCTGGAAAAGAGGGGTTTGAAAATGTGCAACACAATTTAAAAAGCTACATTGCATTCAAAATAAATTTATATTGCTTGCTAATTTGCCTCCACGGCACATAGAACTTTCTGACCTCCTATACTGTAATTCCATGGCTCAAAGAAGTAATCCTGCAAGGGACGCTTAAATTGTTTGCTAAGGTTTCAATAAACATGTAATACTATATGTAGAGCAATAGGTAGTCACTGGAGTAAACTGGAAGCACATAAGAATGAAACACCTAATTAAGAATCATTAATATCTGTATAACAACACACATTCTAGCCATTAACTATCAAATGTACATAAATATTACCATAAGTATTTATTTATTGTGTGCAATAAATACAATTAGACTACCAAAGATAATTATTTATTTATTGTATAATATATTACATTGATAATTAATTAAGAGCTTTGTGGTTTTTTGTATGACAATTTTCCCAACAAACTATAAATGATGTGGTAAATCCAAAACTTAATTTATGTAAAATTAAATTTTTTTTTGCACTGCGTTCATGAAATAGGGCCGAGCCACTTTACCCTTGAAAACATATTAATAGTTTTACATTTACACAGAAATCTGATCAATGAGTATTAACAAAAATGAACAATAGTCTGGAAGACCTTCTGTCATGAATGAAGACGAAGGGAAGATGTCGAACTTGCCAGAGTTTCAACAAAAGCGATGAAACCATTTTCTCTAGCTTACATTAACTTGGGAAGATATGAAAGCTAAATGGATAATATATGAAATGGATGCTGGGCAAATCATACCATTTTCATACCAATGACCCTGTCCCATTGACACAAAAACCAATTATTCATTGAAAATGATACTTTGTGTTTGGTGGAGTACGGCAGGCATTGTGCACCAAACTCTTGCCACAGAAACAAGTATCCTCACCCTGGCTCAGAAACAACCTGCTCTTATGAACAAAAAGTTTTTTTCTGACTTTCACCTTTTTTTAGCAATAGACTATCATATAACAAATAAGAAGTTTTATAAAATCCCAGGACCTAAACTTTTATAAGTAACTCGTAGATTCTGGTGAAGACCATTTCCCTAATTAAATTATTTCTAAACTACTTTTAATTGTGGCAATTATTAAACCCTTTAAACCCACATGAACTTTTCTGGTTACCTGGTACAATAAAAGTTAATCTTAAACAATATTAATCTTGCTTATTTTTTAATTTAATTTCAGGAATTAACATATGCGTTAAAAATATTCAACTACTTTTTCACAGCAGTTTTTATCCTTGAATCCATTATGAAACTTGTTGCGTTGGGCGTAAAGCTTTATATGAAGGATAAGTGAGTAATAAACTATAGCACGATAATCATAAGTTTAACAAATTATATATTTTCAGATGGAATCAATTGGACGTATTAATAGTCATATTATCAATTGTTGGGATTGTTCTTGAAGAAATGGAATCAAATATAATTCCAATAAACCCAACTATAATTAGAGTCATGAGGGTGATGAGAATTGCCCGAGGTATTTATTATAAAAGAGAATCATTAACATACAAATGTTTTTGTTGCAATACTGATATTCTATTTTGTCACGTATAGTATTGAAATTGTTAAAAATGGCAAAGGGTATCAGGGCTTTGTTGGACACCGTAATGCAAGCCCTTCCTCAAGTCGGCAATCTTGGTCTTCTTTTCTTCCTTCTGTTTTTTATATTTGCTGCACTTGGTGTAGAACTTTTTGGCCGACTCGGTGAGTAAAATGTGAAGATTATTATTATCATCCACCTGAAAGTTTTACTTGAGTAAACAATTTAAAATGGGTTCTTGGTCCTTATTTTTCTCTAAATTTTATGAGTCTGTTTTATGTTTGAGTAGAAAACAAAAATCCTTTCCTTAAAATTTTAAATTTATTTTTTATTTGTCTTAGCTATATTTATTTCTATTAACTATTACTATTAAAACAAAAACAAGAATCATGGTCTGTTAGTATGAAACAAAATTTTAAAAAATGTATGTGATTTATAAAAAATAATACACAAAATTATTTATATTTTTCTAATTATATATATTTTGCTGTTAATTAACATGACTTTTAAACTTTTTATTTAGAGTGTAGCACAGAACACCCATGCCAAGGGCTTGGCGAGCATGCCCATTTCAGTAATTTTGGTATGGCCTTCCTCACGCTCTTCAGAGTTGCGACTGGTGACAACTGGAACGGGATAATGAAGGACACCCTGCGCACGGACTGTGACGACAAACCAGATTGTGTTAAAAATTGTTGCGTCTCAGGAATTGCGCCGATCTTCTTTGTTATCTTTGTTCTGATGGCCCAGTTCGTTCTGGTGAATGTCGTGGTGGCCGTATTGATGAAGCACCTAGAAGAATCACACAAGCAGGTGATTCGCTTTATTTTTACCTATTTTTTTTCTTTATCGATTTCTTCTCGTTTTGCATTGTCTCGCTAATTGATATCACACACATGAAAAATATATATTTAACTGAAATGTACAACTAAGAAATAATTCTAATTACACTTGTACCATTGGTAATCGATTCCATCTAAAACAGGATGCAATGGACAAATATTTAAATGAGCTGGCCAAACAAAACGGGGAAGAGGGTGTTTGGTTCACTAAAGAAACGGCGACACACCAGGAATTGACTGAATTGGTGAGACGGGGTTGATAAATAGCAATGATGGATCACAAATCGCACTTGTTTGTTTTATTTTACAAAATATGCTCTTTAGAACTTGTGCCTCTATACAACAGTTTATATCATGAATTTAGTACCTTTTAGAAGTGCACGACACACAGACAAAACACCTTTTAAGTATTAAAAACACAACAAAAACAAAATCACTAATAAAGGCGAACAAGAGAAAATTGCTTTTATGTATTTCATTTCATTGAGAATCAATTATAAAATAAATAACAATTTTATTACAAATTGGAACAAATTGTTCACACTATTGTTTAATTAAAAAATTACTTAAATTACTTAATTAATTATCAAATTTATTGGTAAAAAGCACTTGCAAATAAAAAAGAATTAATAAAACATTTATTTTATTACATAAACTATACAGAAAAAAGACATTTTGCATTTACAGGATTGAAGAAATCCCAATACATGCTTTGACTTTTTATTTATACAATTTTTCTGCATGAATTAATTACAAATTAATATTTGAAGTCAATGAAATGCTCAAATCATTTTTCTGATTTTGTCTGTACGCAGCTTAAAATTTTCGTTTTGAGTTTTGTTTTTGTTCAGTTTGAAATCTCACAAAGCAATAGCAACTCATGAAAAAAAAAATCGCCACACCATAAATATTTCCCAGAAGGGTTGTAGCTTGCGAAAGATGGCAAATTGCTAATGTTTTTTCCTATTTGCAATTATTAAACACTAGCACTACCACTATTTAGAAGATAAAAAAAAGATTTAATCATAAATTCCCTGTATTGAGCAGACAATTGGAAATCATAATTTAAATTAACAATCTTGCATTAAAAAATTACAGTCTTGTAATTGTACAAATTGATTTTTGTAACATAAAACATAAAAGTAAAGTTGGATTTGGCAGATGAGTGGTTAACAATACATTTTTATACCGTTAACAATTCAAAAGCTTCTGCTGGAGTTTGAATTGAGAACTGCTAATGCGGCAAATTGAGTCGGACCACCCGGCCACCGCGGACCCCCCAGTAACTTTACAAAATGATTTCTGTAATGTACAAACAAGCTGTTTTCTGTATAAATTGGTCGTTACAGGAACATTAATTCAACCTCGGGATTGTCCTTAGTGAAGTCTAGAAGATTTATGTTTCTAAAAATCATAATTCTCTGTTATTTGTTTATTTATTAAAATTTGTAAATAAAAGCTAAAATTCCTTTGAAAGGATTTAGACGTTCACTGATAAAGTTCATTTTTTCTTCCAGTTAATGTATATTTCACTATATACATTTTCTGACCTGCTTAACTTCCAATTTGGTACACATGCCAACAAATTAACATTGGTGATATAATTTGAAGTTTTTGTTTTGCTACAAATTATGTAAAGTTCATTTTTTAACATTCTTCTAAATTTTATTATGCATGGTACTGAACATCCAATACTCATCTTCAAAACACAAAAAGAAATACTTTTTTTAAATGGTACACACTTAAATTATGCTTACTCTTTTGATAACTTATCAATTATATATTAAATATCATTTTTAAGATGAAATTGAGTAAAATTCCAATGTAAGAAGTCTTTTAATTATAAGATCTCTGTTCTGTTTTTGTCACCATGCAAATTGTTTTTAAATATTACCCCCATGAATCACATAGGTTTATATAATTTATATTTTAATACAATTTAATAATAATTTAAAAATCTCACCAGTAACACCTAGAACATTTGAAGGGTGAAATTAAAATAATGCAATTTTTATTCCTAATATTGCAGGTACTTAGGAAAAATGCTGAAGATCGACCTTTTAATAAAAGTCAAATGTAGTAAATATATAAAATGCATAAAAAAGAAACATTAAAGGAATGAGCGATTAGTAAGAGGACCTCGACATTAAACAATGACAGGTTTTTTTTCCAAACTCTAAAAAAAAGGCTGTATTTTGATACTTTTTATATGTAATTTTGATCTATACTATCATTTTTTGCATGAATAATTGTGCAAAGCAAAACTTTTATGCTTTTTTGTTCACTTTTTTATTTTCCAAGATGTTTACATCAAACGATGGTCAACAAAGACATGGATTCACAACAAAGATCAGCCACACGAACGGGGGAAAAATACAATTGCTCATTCTTTTCAAGTTTCTTTTATATTGAGAATTGTACAATATAATATTTATTTGCTGCATTATTAAGCAAATAAATTTTACCAACAATGGGCAATTAACATTTGTTGAAGTTTGAAATACACAACAAAGTATCAGTCATTAATAACATAAATACCCAACAATAATTCACAAATCTAAAAGCACAGTCCACAATTTAATCCACTTGCATTATTTTTTTGCCTTTTGAATTTAGCAATTTGAGCTTTTTTAGTTATAGCAAATGTTTTATGATTTCTTCCTATTCCAACATAAATAGAAAGCACTTATGCGATTCATCGCTTCTTTTTAAAACATTTTGTTTTCATTGGTTTGTTAATTATTAAATTGTTTTCCCTTAAGCAACTATAATCCTGTTTAAGCACTGAATAAGATTTGATATTGTTTATCTTAGATTTCACTTTTTCTTTCCTTTTTTTTAATCTTTTTTTTGCAATATTCATTTGCTATGTTAAAACATTGCTATAGTTTTTCTTTTATTGAATCATTTTTTGGATTATCTTTTTTTTAATTGGTATTTATTATTGACTGTTACGTTTAATTGTTGTGATAACTTTTGAGCATTCTGAAGAACTTCCTTTTCTGTTCCATGAATTATCTATCACTTGCACTCTAAGAAAAGTGATAAATTGCATTAAGGCCCAACAAGTAAAATGAAGACAGCAGAAATTGCATAAAAGTGTAAGATTTGAATGATAAAAACACAATACAGCCAAAATTAAACATAACATTAGTCTTGTTTTAGTCTGAATTCCATCTATTTCCAAATAAAATATATAAAACAAAGCAGTTAGAATGCTTATGTGGACTTTTAATTGGTATATATTTTTTAAATTGCACTTTTTAATGGCAAAGTGTATTCCAATAAAGAACATTGATAATAATTCGTGGGATAAAGTCATTAGTTTATATCTGGTAAAAATGTAGTTTACTTACTTTATTACTTCAAGACTACTCCATCTATTATATATACTAGATTTTTCATTTATTTCCTTGTCTGTGTTGTTTTTCCTAACGCACCCCCTAATTCAACTGGCTCACATTAAGATACATTTTTATAACAAAGTTACATCTTTCAGACCTTTTTAAAACCAAATAAGTCAGTGTGACAACAGACCCCTGCCAGTAAATCTTGTGTTAAGGAGGCCACATCTAATTGCTACCCCTACATATACATAATTTTAAAGAGGACGGGATAGTTTTCTTCAAAATGTTTGCCATTCGTCCTGGCCCATCGGTGAAATCCGTGATATTCATCCTGGTACCAATAGTGTCACTTGTGGTGTGACAATCGTCACTGCTCGTGGAATTCTTACCCGTCCCATCCAGGGTCTCGTCCCCCTACCTACCTCCTCTTAATCTCTATAGCTAAATTCATTTCCTTTTGTACATATTTTAATCAAAAGTTAATTGTTTTATTTTATACCTTATCTGATTTTTGTTTTTCATTTTTGCTTAAAATTGTTTAAGAAAATTTTCTGTAAAATTTGGTGGGCGGTATGTTGTGGCTAGAGCAAAATAGGCTCTTCACCTTGACTGTTTGAGTCCTGTCCTCAACCTCTCCTTTTTTCATTTTCAAGCAGTTCTCATTTTTCTTGGTCTTAGTAAGAATCTATTGGGAAAGAAAAAAACCTATTCTTACCTCTCTCTACCCTTTTACAACGTCTCCTGTGAGGACCTCTCACTTTCCCCTTCAATTTTCCTTTACTATTTTCCAAAATTTCCCTTATTTATCCCTATTTATCATTTTCTGAGCTTGACGCCCCGGGGAACTTCGCAAGGCAACCTCCAGTGAGCGGTTCCTCTTTTTTTACAATCAACACCAAACCGTAAATTCTTTCTTTCCTTTACTTTAGTATCCAGCCCAAACATTTTGATTACTCCTCAAAGAATGCTTACTTTTTTCTGTAAATTCCATCCATTACTACAAACACTAGGTTTTATACTTATTGGAATTTGACACAACTCTTCCATGAAATTGTTAAGTTCTAAGTATGTATTGAGAAATGTGAGTACAAAAGGGAAGATACAAACAAAAATCTATAAAAATATTGTTATTACAGTGAACATTGCTTATTAATGTACTTACAATTATTTTTACTATGGCAACTATGAATAATAATCATAATGTTAATTTGTCTCGTTATTCAATACACTATTACTAAAATTATCCCTCTAGTTGAAATATGAAAAGAAAGTTTTTCACTTTGCTGATCTTGTTTCCAGTTTTGAATCGGATCCTTGCAACAGTCATTCTAAACATTTACATTTTCCAGCTTGAAGATGAATTGGACATTGAAGATGAACTGGAAAGAGAGTTGGCAGCTGAACAGCTGGAGGATGAAGAGGAAGACCTTTGCCTGCAGCTCGCCCTTGAACAAGATGCGATCCATAGACCATTGGCGAAAGTTCTCTCTCTACCAGCCAATTTCACGTTTTCCAGTGACAGCAGAGATTCTAACTCCCCTAATAGTTTGTATACATTATTCGGAATGCTTGGTATGCTGGTAATAGAGGAAAGTAGTAGTCTAACTATTATTTTTTTATAGTTTAGTAAGTATTAACTATTTCTAATAATTAATAACTTAATAATATTTTAATTAATCTCACTAGACAAACTTCATTAGTTTGTAGTTTTAAAAGCATTTTCTTTAAATAAAATATGTAGTTTTTATTTTACTACCATGTGAGCCATTTTTATATCTAACTTAATAATGGTGATATGCAGTTCAAACTTTTTGTTAGTATTATGCATTTAGTGCTACTGGGGTTCATACAGTTTTCTAAATTTACTCATCAATTAAGTTAATTTTGAATATTAAGTATTTTTATATGTATCATCTGTTATGGCAAATGTATCTCCCAGAAAATTTCAACTTGCTCTTCTTGTAACCAAGACAACTGGTTTAATCTTTTACATTTTAAATTTTAAAAAGTATTCAATGGTTATCTTAAACAATAATTAATTTATTTTTATAAACGTTAGTTATTTATTAAATCTTTTTTTGCCTTGTTTACATTGAACATAATTGCTCATTTTTGGCAATTCATTGTTTTCAACTATTCTTGAAACTATACTTAATTTTTAAAATGTTAATATAATTTTAAGAAATAAAATAGTTTCCTGGAAATAGCACAGGATGCCAAAACATCAGAAGACTGTAATTTCATTTAGAGCCACAAAGGTCTAAAAAATAAAAAGACTTTTTTTTCATTTGTTCTAATGACTTTGTCGTGCAAAGATAATGGTATTAGTGCAATAAGAAATTTAATTATCTAATTTATTTTTAAATTTATATTACAATTAATTAAGGTTTTTAGTTGAGATAAAAAAGTCAATGGCACGAGCGGGATTCGAACCCACGATCTTCGGCTAGATATGCCGCTGCTCTACCACTTGAGCTATCATGACCTCGATCCACTCGGACACTAACTTCCCATCTCAACCCCACCTTTTTGAATTTTCCCTCCTTTTTGCCATTTTTCAACCAAAAAGGAGGGAAAACTCATAAGGTGGGGTTGAGATAGGAAGTTGATGTCCGAGTGGATCGAGGTCACGATAGCTCAAGTGGTAGAGCAGCGGCGTATCTAGCCGAAGCTCGTGGGTTCGAATCCCGCTCGTGACACTGACTTTTTTATCTCAACTTAAAATCTTAATTAATTCATTGAAAAATTTTGATATGATTTTTTACATGTTTTAATAGCTGCTCGCCTATTCAATGTTGTAAGGATTTTTGCCAGTGTAACCTCTTTTAAGATTTTCTTCGTTTGTCATTTCTCTGAACTTGACTGGTTTGTGGGGCTTAACCTTTCTCCCAACACTATGCTTAGGCACTTTACCATTTTGCTTATCTTGAATTTTTCCCTTCAATCTTAATCATGAGGCTTGTACTTGATTTGCCTTTTAGCATCAATGATTGGCATCATCAGGTGAAATTTTTCATCGTCACAACTACTTTTAATTTTCCTCAAGCTCTTTCTTTGTATTGGCCTTTATGATGGTTGCAAAGTCATATACAAAAGTGACAAAGTGAACCCATTTCCTTCTTCCATTCCACTTCCAGCTTTTCCTTGAGGCTTTTGAAGACATTTCAGAACGCTTTGAACCCTACGCTTTTAAAGAGGGTTTTACCGATGAAAAAAGGCGATATCATTCATTATATATGAACTGTGAGAATTAAAGTAAATTTAAATTATCAGGGTCATTTTTTTACAAAGAAATATTAACAAACCTCCTCTAAAAGTTATTAAAGAAATAAAAAATTGTATAAGCGTTAGTCTTAGTAATGATTTTATCATTTAGCCCCTTCATTTGCGTTGGCAACAGTAAGGCACGACAGAAGTGTCATGACGGTTTAGCATCCAGCTGTGAGTTATGTCCTCATCAGTTGAGGATGACTAGATTAATTTTTGTTTTGTGTTAATGAAAAAATTAGTTTTAACTAAACGTAAAGAATAAAATAATAATAATGTTTTCAGTTTATCCTTTCATTATTGTTTTTGGATAACTTTAAGAGTATTACAATTATTTACGATCTATACAATAAAGTATAAATGTTTCAAAATTTTAATCAATTATTTTTGTTCAACGCTTGTTTTCATTACTTTAGCATCTAAGTTCTTATGACCAATATGCCTTTAGGAAAAATTATGTAAAAATTACGTTTTTTCTTTTACCGTTGTTTAAACGTGACACAATAAAATAAGCTTTTTATCCATGCACAAATCAGTATTCAACTTAATTATGTTTATTTGCTACTTTTTCGCTTTTTATTGTCCTTATTTACTGCAAGCAGCATGAAAACTATAAAGTTGATTTTTGGGAAATTAGATGTGTTTTCTTCTGAGCAATGTAGAAGCTAAATTTTAAATTTTAATAATAATAAAGTCTCTCCATATAAGAGGATTGAGGAAATAGGTTCAAAAATACATTTTCTTTTATTGTTAGAAAGTTTGTCAAGTTTCATGATAGAATTGTATTCTGAAAAACAATAACCCTTATAAGAAATTTGATACCAGACAAATCAGATTAATGTACACTTTCTGAAAATTGTATTATTCAACTGTCCCATTATCTGAATGGAACGCCCTTTAAATAATTAACAGATAATTATTTTTAGGTACACACTACTTGAAGATGATACAAATAAATATTTAATATTTAATATTCAATATTTTGCAGCACCCGAGAATTAGAAGAGTAGCTAATTTTAAAGTTTGTGTTCTATAGAAAAAATATATGCTTTCAAAAATTAGTAAATTAGATTCTATATTAGCTACAGCAATTAATTATTTAATGGGTTGAGTCTCTGTTGATTTAGATTCTAGACAACGTAGAGCATCGTCTAATTCTTGGAGGGATGTAAGAGACAATGCAATAGCCAAAAATTCAAGACGAAGACAAACACTCCAAGGACCGATGTTGATACCTCCAGCTTACCCGACAGTCGGTTACACATCCATATATACGACACACCATGATAGAGAAAGAGTAAATAGACATTGTTAAACATTTTTTTTTCCATTTTGATTAACAGTCCTGCAACATTATAGATACGAGTGACAAAACAGCAATCGATCGCAGATGATGAAAACCCTATCACTCTGTCTGTGCCTACGCATTCAGGGAGATTGATGAGCCTTCCCGAGTCTTGCCCACCTGAGATTTTGACAGAGCCAGCGACAACGGAATTTATAAGGGAATCACCAGAGTCCCTTTCTCCTGGAGTCATACTCATACCGCCTCCTTATTCCGATGCCGAATCACCGAGTGAAAATGTAATTGGTTCTGATTCGAGACAGGAAAAACTTCAGGTAGTTCGCTCTCGATAAAACTGATTTTTCACCAGCTTCAATATTTACGTTTTTCAGGTCAGTCCGGGCGGCCAGAGAGTCAGGATCCGCCTTTGTGATACCAGAATGGACTCCGGCATCGGTGATGAAAAACACAGCCAAGAATCGCAGCCTTCTTCAGGGAACCCATATGAACGGGAAACGCCAGAAAAGTCCATCGATCAAGTCATCGTTCATAACCAACGAGTATCGTAGTGAATCATGTACTCATTAAAATAGTTTACCATCTTGATCCATTTAGAATTGTTTTGAAGAGAATCGTTTTTGTTTTTTTATTTCTAGGGCTTTACAAAGTATAAATGCCTATATAAAAAATAAATAAATAAAAAATAAAAAAAGTGACAGTCAATTTCAAAAAGGCAAATTAGATAATAATTGGCCAACCTTGATGTTAGAAGACGGAAAATATAGAATGGAATTAGAATGAACTTTTAGAGTGTCATTGTATTTGTCATAAAATTATCGAATATCATATCAAAGAGATTATTTAATTTATTTTCCATAGGTGAGATTATTTATTGGATCTAATCTTTTGTCAATTATCAGTCATTAATTCTCTCACATAAAAAAAGTTTTACTACTTAAGTAATGTTAATATATATATTGGTATCTTCTAGATATGTGTTTTATTCATCTACTAAGATTTTCAAATTCAAATTCAAATGTTGAATTTAGAAGCAGTCATTCAATTTGGTTCCAAATAAAGCTTTTTGAAAAAACTTTGAGAATAAATTTGTCAGTAAATAATTAATTTAAAAAAATTGTCCATTACAGATTAAAACAATTAGTCTAGTTGATTATAAAATGTTTTGTTAAACTTATTTGTAAAAAATACTTCATGATTTATTACAGGAAACTGCAGTGTATGACTCAGCATAATCAAAAGATTAAATAGAAAATTAAAGTCAAAATTGTTATGTACAATTACAAATGATTATTAATATTGTGTATTATACAATTATATAATATTGAGCTGGTCTCAGTAATTATTTTGAAAAATTGAAAACAAAAAATGTTAAATAATTTGAAAAATTTAATTTAAAATAAAATAAGTTCCTAAGCATTTTTTAATTAGTTTGTATTTTGAAATAAAAAGTAATGAATTGATTTTTTATTGAAAACACGATATGTATTTTCTATTGTTGCACGTTTTGAAATGTTGTTGTCATAAGATTCATTATCGATAGTAGTTATAAAAATAGTAAGGAGTTTTAAAAAAAGAAAAAAAAAAGAGGTCTGTATGAAAAAATGATTACAAAAAATATCAAAAAGTTATATTTTATAAAATTTCATTTTTTACTTGAAGAATGTGGGAAATAGCATAGTGTGTAGAAGAAATTAGCTAGAAAATGAAAAAACCATAGAATAATAACATTAAATAATATAATTAATTAGCATTAACCCTCCCCTAAATTTTGTGGAATCATTTAGATGAAAGAATTTGTTAATGGAACCATTACAAATTTATGAAGAATCGTTTGAAGAAAAAACAAATGCTTACAAAAACAATTTAGACAACAATCTGTATAGCTTCTATTTTTCTGACTTCGACACTGTTGTTTAAAAGAAAAAGTCAAAATGTCAATTTCATAGTCTACATAAATATTGTAAGGGAAACAAATAAATTAAGAAGCAGGGTATATTTGCACGGAATATAAATAATGCAATTTTATAAAGATTATTATGTTGCTTATTTAAAATGCAACGATAAAACTTTTTAGAAAATTCGGCCTACGAACTACAATCATAAAGGACCTCTCTATTTAAGTAGACTATCAACAGTGTGTTCCCTAGCTAGCCTTATTCTACACTAAGACTGTTAGAGTGGTTAGATGATTTAGACCTTTATAGTACAGTACAACTGTATAGTCTCATCATGTCTTTCTCTAAATGTTTTCGAGGCAAGTGCTTATTAAGTTATTTTGTCAGTTTTATTGTATAAAATGATACAAAGCACATGAAAATGCCTTGAAAACATTAGCTAATGTAAAGTAAGAATGTTGATTTTCTTTTTGCCTTTCTGTTTAGTTCTAAGAACGGAATATGGGTCGAGAATGAAAGTATTAAAAAGTGGGGCCACAGCTTCGAAATGGCTAAATATTTATAAACTACAGATACATTTTGATAAAAACATTTTCAGATTGGACCATAAATATTTGCAAGAATAAAAAAACAACAAAAACATTATCAATGTAGCATTGTATTTTGAAGCAATATATCTAAAGTGTATAGTATAATACTATATTTCTATGTAATTAGTTACCACTTCTCAAATGTTTCTAAACACCCGAGTTCGTCTGGGCGTGTCTGTGGTAACTAGTATCTAGTCTTGTTATATTTGATCAAAAGTGGGATAACCAGTTTTAAATCTAAAAAATGAATATTGTGTAACTAATGAGAAATGAATGTCTGTATAAAATTGTTGAAATTTAATATAGCCGAAAATGTTTTTTTAAAAGGTGATTCCATTTTTGATGGTGTATAATCAAATTGTATGTGTATTATATTCTTAGCAAATCTGTGATATTCTTAATACTGTACAGTTAATGAATCGCTTCTGTTTTTAGTATATTCTCCACTTATCCAAGCCAGAATTTTGTTTTGTACATTTTGTCTCTTTCTGTGTATAATAAAAGTGTGAGAAAGTGGAAATATAATAGATATTCTTGTCTTTTTTTTTTAATTCACTGTTTTCAATTTGCAAAATACCTTTCAACAAATTAATGGCACTGGGATTGCCACTGTGCACATCCAAAGAATGGCATAAGCAATATAAACTGTCAAGACTTAAAAGAAAGCCATCATGAAATCCTAGAGAGCATAATAAATGAGATGGTTACAAAAACGTCTGACAAAGTAATAGCAAAAGAAAGTTTTGACAAATCCTTCCAAATAAAAATTGGGCCTTCATACTAGAGGGGCACATTTATTACCACCTCAAAAAATGGGAAAGCTGAGACAGGCACATACTCGCTCATACTGTCATTGGAACGTCGCATTGGCGGGTTCACTTTTGCAATTCATGTCAAAAGACGTGGTTGTAGAACTCCTTCAACCTGATGACGAGCTAAAAGCACAAAACAACTGTGAGTAGGAACTATCTTTTTAAAATGATTCACACTGTCTCTGTCATGACGAGACTACAATGAGTTGGCCTGGAAATGGTAAAGCTTCAAAAGGCAATATTGATGCATAAAAAATAAATGAAGAGAAACCCTATAAAGTGCTCAACTATCTTAAGGATAGTGCACTTTTCGAGGTATGGAAATTAGAACTAAAGAAGGGTCAATTCCACAATAAATATTTTAAGTCACAGTGGAGAAGGGAGACTCGTAGTGGGAGGTCACTGGTAACACTAAAGCAAGAAAAAAATAATTTCTTACTAAAATTGAGGTAATTTTTAAAATTTACATTACATTGTCTAGTCCAATGAAAGTCATTTGGCTGGCATCAATTTATAAAATCTAATCATTAAAAGACTAGAAAAGAGTTGAAAGTTGAAAAAAGAAAATCTAGGTATAAAGGAAACGAAAATTAATTTGAATTGATGGCTGAATTGTTTTATTAAAGGAAAAATACTACAAATTAAAATAAAGAGAAAAAGCTAGCGTCACAAGCGGCATACGAATATCCACTAGCTAGCTTTTCCATCTTAACTGAGACCTTACACAAAAAAAAAAAATTAATTGAAAGAAGTAATTTGGCCAATTAGGCTACTAAAACATAATTCATTTAATAAGTAACAGAAGTATTTCAATAACAGCTCCCCGTGGCCACTTCTGAGAATCGAACTCAGATTACACATATGTAATTTGGCAAAAAAGAGGGAAAATGAGAAATTTTGTAAGTTGAGATGGGGAGTTTGTGTCTGTGTAGATAGAAGTCACGATAGCTCAAGTAGCTAGAGTAGTGGCGTAATGAGCTGAAGGTTGTAGGTTTGAATCCCGCTCGTGACGATAGGTGGTGAACACTAAGTAATTTATTCATCTTTTATTGTATTGTTATTTTTATTTTATTTATTTAATTTTTTATGAACATAATTGAATAAATTAGGTAATAGGGCAATTTAGTGCCTTCTGGCTGTTAAATTAGCCTAACATTCACCCATTATCCCAGGCGAGCTACCAAATAATTTGATATTTGGTTTTTACCAATCATTTTGGTTTTCCTATTCTCGTTGTGTTGGCCTGTCAGACATGTTTGAGGGTTAAAAGAGAGAAAAGACGAGTCATTCGCACAGGTGGTAATGATGGTGTTGGTATGTCTCAGAAAGTCAGCAAAAATCGTATAACATGATAGGACCAAGAATTGGAGAACATCAGCTCGTATTGGCCTGATATGTGAGTAATGGCTGCCACCTCACTCTGTAGCGTGTTAAATATGATTCCAGGTTGCAAAAAAGATTGGAAACTGGAGTGTGGTTATAATTAAAAGTTTAAAATCAGTTGTCTTTGGACTCATCCTGAGAGCTCCAGCTCCCACGCCATTTTTGAGCAGTTGGTATACCAGTAGTTGACTAGAGGAACCTATGGTCCACACTTCCATTTTTGGTATAACTACCTTGTACTTTTTTAGTAAAGTTGTAATTGTAGCGGTTGGCATGCCTATACATGCCCTTTCCTTGCAGATAGTTTATCCATTTAATGAACCTATGAGCTGCTGCTCTGGCTTCACATTGGGTTAAAATATGAAGTGGTGGAAGGTTTAACAGGCCGCAGTTAGCATAGTACTTATGGCTCTAGTGATTCTGAAACAAGCTTGACTTTGGTGCTCCTAATAGCCTGCTTAAGTCTTGGTCCACCATACCACTAATTCATTTGTCAATATTGATCTTATGGCACACGTGTAAAGCCATATGGTTAGATGAGAAGGAATTTTTCTCTGTGAATCTAGGGTGAGTATTAATTATTAAAAGGGATCATGAGGATTTTGGAAACAAAAAGGAAATATCAGTACAGAACAGTCGGCTATAAAGTTCTTCCTGGGCTTTCACTGATACTCTATTCTGTGTTTTTTTAGAAATCGTGAGATGCGGTCTGGTGTGATGTAGGTTTAAGAGACATTTTCTTTATCGTGCCAACGTTTCAATCTTTATTGAGATCATCTTCAGGGCCTGGGATTTACAAACATTGTTTACATATAACAATTACATTTTGGATGTAGAAAAGTAAATTTATACAATGCAAAATATATTTTATATATTCAAAGTATTTCTACTAACTCTAAGTGTTTGTCTTCTGTGTAATTGTGCCATTCTTGCGTGTCGTGTCGAGAGTGCCAGTGAGATTTTGTTATTTTGTGTTTATATACGTTGGATTTTGAAGTAGTGGGGAAGGATGTCGATATAGAAAAGACATTTTTGTACAAGGTGTCGGCTTCTTTGAGATGAAAAGAGCCGACGAAGGGAAAAAATGTGTTGGTAATGGTTCGGCCAGATTATCCTTTCAGGATTATATTGAAAGGGATAAATAGGAAAAGGAAAGCTAAATTGTTTAAAAATTAGACTATGTACAAATGTTTGATGTGTGGAATGTAATGTGATAATATAGGTATGTTATCTGTATTGAATGTTATTAATGATATTGGCGTAGCTGTGATTGAGTTTACATGTATCTGTTCTGTATTGATGCTGTGTTTATCTCGGTTGATATAAACCATTTCTAAGAAATTACGTTTATATTTGTTTGTCTGTAATATTTTTGGATTTTTGAAGTCGAAATTGTGTTGGTGTTCAAGATGGTGGGTAGCGAGTGCTGTAGGATTTTGCTTGGGTTTTTTGCAATCATAGATATGTTGCTTTACTCTCTTGTCCAAATATTGGGATGTAAGACCGATGTAAGTTGCCAGACAGTTTAAACAGTTGATCTTGTAGATTACGTCAGATTTATTTGTGTATATATAGTATTTATTTGTATTATAGTGTTTTTCCAGGTCATCCTGGCATGCCTCCTCCTTTTCTAGCCTTTTTGGTCTAGATATGCTTCTTTAAATATACTTTTTTTTAGCATTTTAAAAAAATACTTTTTTTTTAGCATTTTTTTAAATATACTTTTTATTTTTATGTGTGTAAATATGCGTACATTGTAATATTTTCACAACACTAAGCATTTGGGTTGTTTTCTTGCTTGCTAATCATCTTCATCATCACTAAGGCAAATCAAGACATGTTTAGTCGGTAAGAATTATGGCTGATCCTGACTAGCCTAAAATATTATTAATGAGGATAAAAAATAAGGTCGTGGAGGCATTTTATTTAATTAAAACATATACAAAACAAAATTGTTTTAATGATGTATTTACATTTAGATATCAAACAAATAATTTACCTGATTTATTGTAAGAACCCATTTACACAGAGAGGCGGACAATAAATTTACAACTTATTTTCATTAACATTTAAATTAAAAAAAAAAAAAAAAAAAAAAAAAATTATAACTCGATACAAGCATTGTTTTGTGCACTATAAATGCAAACTGGCTTTGGTCTGGAGGAAAAATAAAATAAAAAAATACGCACACTTACATCTTGCAAATAAGCCGCAAAATTTTGTCTAATTGGGCAGGGGGAAAATGGAGATTTATGAGAAAAATAAAATGTGAACGAAATTAAAATAAAAAATAAAATACCTATTTATTGTTGACTCTGGAACCTCTGGTGTATTTGGTTGTAAATGATTACTACGGGGTTGTGGTAGTTCAGTCACTACCATCACACTATAATAATGTATAATAAGCAAAATCCTAATAACACTATTTTGTCACTGAACAAGAATATTTACACAACATTCACCTGTATATCAGGTAGCAATTATTATTTAACTAATACATATTCCACATATTTTTACTTGATCTAATTAACATTAAAATTTCACTTCATTTTTATAGTCTCTTTAAAAAATGTATTGTCACAACTTGATAATGACATTAATATTTTTAAAAAATTTATAAAGAAAAACTATCGGACACTAATTTCAGATTTAATAAATTGTCTTTCATTTTTTAAGATAAGTTATGTAGCAAATTACCAGGAGAGACCATTTTTAACGTAAACTGGCAAAAATGGTAATGTTCACAAGAAGATTTCGTTGTAAAATATACCTTCGTCTGGAGCTGGCTTTCGAAGAATTGAAGAAGTCTCGTCTTCGTTAACTTGATTTGTCGAGTTTTTACATTGGATGATATATTTTGACCCACCTCAATTGCTATGCAGCACCGTCAGTGAATTCGATCCATTTCTCCAGTCTTCATTAAAAGGCTAATCTGAAACCACCAACCCAACGGAGGGAAATGTATCACTTCGATCAACAAACAGAACATACATGTCGATGAAAGAACAGGAAATGAAAACAATTTGTTTGGTTTTGTTAATAATCAAATACCTGGACCCAGATCCGACTTCATTAGCTTCCTTGTGGGATAACAAACCATCGGGTAATTTATTTTAAACAATAAACGTAACTAGATATTTGCTGAGTTACCAGATAGAATGTTTTTAATTCCTGTGAAATAACAAGTTAATGGGCAGCCACCCTTACAAACATTCCATTTAATTTTTCATTTTTCATTTAACACTGACAGAAATTTCTTTGTTCTCTTTCTTTCCTTTTTTGATTTCTGTGTACAATTGAAAAATTAAATTTTTATGAATCGCAAGGGTGTCATCCATAAGCCCTTTGGAAACTCAATTTCAACAATAATGTTATAAAAAATCTTTATTTGCGACAATAAATACCTGCAATTGACCTGATATTGTGCGCATACTTGATGCAGTACTGGGGGCTGCCTGAAATGTCGGGGCGACCCTTTTTCTGAGAATGAGGCAGGCAAAAACTCAACTTAACTGCCGATCATATACACTGGAGGTTATTAATAAGGTTAAAAACTCTGCCATACTTCTGTTATTACGGTTTATTGTTTATTCTCGCTCGGTTCTAAATAAAAATTTGGCCAGACACTTTCCATTTTTTTTTTCGAAGAAAAACTATTTGATTCCGTACAAAAAGCACACTTCACCAAAATACATTCGGGTTTGCTGTTGAAATATTAAAATCTTAAGCACTAATTTTCAAATACTAAACAAAGAAAACAAGAGATATTGATGATTTCTTCCCTTCATTTATTTCTTCATCTATCAGCAAATTGTTAAAAAATCATAATAATTGAAAAAAAGTATACCTTATTAGTTTATACTGATCCCAGCTGTCATAAACTGAAGAACACTACGTTCAATAAAATGAAATAGAATGAAGGTGGAAACCTAAAGTGATAGTTCTGTAACGTTTTTGACATACATTAATATTTAGCTGTTAAATATAGAATGTTTAAAATTGTTGCTGTTAACAGGCATTTCAAACTATCAACATTTGATTTGTCTTATATTTTACCTTTGTCTCAAATACATAGTTTACAACTCCTATACTCACAAAAAGTTTAAAATTTTAATATTTTGCTTAACAGCCAACCCAAAAGTTTTGACAGAATAAACTAAGGACAGAATTTCCCAAATCCGATGAGAAATAGATGAAACAAAGTGAGCTACTTCCAATTTTGATCTTCCGTATCCCATAATTAAACAAGACAACTGTCTAATTTATTTGTTCAAACATATGTAAGAAGGAAAACAAATTTTGTTGATGTTTCATTATATGCAGGGGAAGAATAAAGGAAAACAAACTGATCCTTCTCAGGCCTAAATTTAAACGCTTAAAATCTTTGTGATGCAACTTTTTTCTAAAAATTAAAGGAAAGGGATTGTCAGACTTCATGACCGAAAATATAAAACAGGGAAAAAAACATCAACAAAATTAAATTATACATAAAATGTTCTCTCTCTGAACCACAAAACGGAGATTTCCTGGGTAACTTTAATAATAATTGAATACCATGCAACGACTGGTGTGCAGTAGAAAAATTTAAATTTTACTCTTAGTTTTCAATTTCATTATCACAGATGGTTGCTCATAATCACTTTTGGGGATGAGGGGAAAATCACTCACCTTATAGTGATCCATCTGAAAGGAAAGTTCTTAAAAAATTAGCTCATTTTGGTAAACCTTGATCACATAAGAAATAGTCAGTTTTAATTTGTGAAATTAATTTTTCTTTATTTTAATCTGATGCCAAATGCATAGAAAATTTGACATGTCATCTAGTTACAAATGACAGCTATTTCTTGACAAATATTCTAAACTGATTGGAAGAAAAATTGAGCATCGCAAAATAAAGAAAAGTGAGAGACTAAAGAAATCATTTATTAAACCCTCCCTGTGAACAAGGTCTTCCAGCTAGTATACAAAAAACCCACTTACCTCATACTGTCTAAAACTGACCAGCTCTACTCTCTGCGTCTTCTGTGGGAATCACTACTTCGTTCTAAAAAAGAAAAAAAATGTTAAAAAATAGAGTTTGAAATATTGAATTAAGATGTAATACCTCTTCGGTTGTGACGGTCCTCATGCCTTGATTTTTTACTTCTCTCTTTTTCTCTGCTTTCCCCTCTGTCGTGGCTCCTCCTTAGAAAAAATAAAACAACTTTAGCACCAAAAAATTTAGTGAAATAACACATTTATTTTTAATATTTACTTTATTCGCTCCTCTCTTTTCGGCCTTTCTCTCTCCCTATCTCGGGTGTGTTCTCGACTGTTGGAAAAACAAATTAATACCTCTAAAAATTAAAAATGAGTTTGCTGTACATACGATGTGTGTCTTTCTTCATCTCTGCTTCTTCGGTCACGTTCCCTATCGCGGTCCCTGTCTCTCTCCCTTTCCCTTTCTCTGTCCCTATCTCTATTATCTACTCGGTCTTTATCCCGCCTCCTTTCACCCATTTCGTCTCTGATTTTGGACCTTTCTTTACGTTCGTCTTCTCTTCTCCTTTCTTTTTCTTCTCTGTCCTTCGCTCGGGCAGCCACAATTTCCTCGAGCGAAGCTCTCAGCCTAGCGTATCCAACATGCTGTTTCCCCATCAGGTGATCGTCAATCCTAGATTGTGCATCACCGACAATAAGGAACGCCCCACAGACTTCACACACTTCCATTTGCTTTTCTTGCGCTGCTGCCAACTCTGCAGTCTAAACAGATTTAAAAAATTGTTTTATAACTAGATGTATAAAAAGATAAGTACAGGAAAAAGGAAAAAAATGAAAAAGTACCTGAGACCAAGCACTGCTATCATTTTGTTTTTGAAGCGATTCCCTTTCTTCTTTCAACTGGTCGCAAAGTTTCATTAATCCTTGAGCCTGCTCTACATTGCCTTCGATTCCAGCAGCTTCTGCTTGACTGACCAGAGAATTAATTTTCTCTGTGAGAAGCTTGATTTGATCATCATTACGCTGGGTCTGAGCAACTGATATTGTTGAAGGCTAAAATAAATCATACAAACAAATAGAAAATAATAATAATCTAATATAACTTTTATTATGGTGAAGACGTACATGCTCATTTTTATTCATTAAAGCAAGGCGCTGTCTTCCTTTTTGTATTTTCCTTTCGACTTCGTTTAACATGCTTTGGGCGAATCTTATGAATTCATCTTCATACGCTTGTTTCTTGTAGCTGTTGGCTTTCTCAAACAGAGCTTTGACCTCGTCATCGTGCACTTTTGGACATGATCCCAAATCTGCCCTTGTATTCACGAACAGGTCATGCGGGCAGAACTTGACCATATAGTATTTACAAAACTGAAAAAAAATTAAATTATTTGTAGAAAGTTTACATTTTAATTTACAATACTTGAATTAAGACATATTACAAAACAAAGTAAGATTATAGGTTTAAATGGATGTGTCCTGTCTAGAATGAGATCTAGATAGCACTCGAAAAAAGAAAGTTTCAAAAGTTTGTAGAAGTTAACACAGTCGTTATGGCTGTCATTCTGGAACAACGAACTAAACTCTCCCCACATACAGACTTTGTTCCAGAATTTCTAGAAAACCTTTCGAAGCTAGTTGTAGGGAGTTGGGGGTATTTTTGGAAATGAATCAGAATCACAGGCCTTTAGTATTGCTTTAGCAACGTCACTACAAACTACCATTTTCCAATTTGACCTTTTGCCATTTTTTTTCTTCCCCTTATATCGGGAGAGTCTTTACAAATCAGTGCCTTAATGAACATGTTTAGTATGGGCTAAGACAGGGTTGTGTATCGAGCCCAATTTTATTTACACTTTCCTTGATTATCTATTTTCTTCTCTTTGAGAGTGTGAGCTCAAAAAAGTTAATGTCATAATAAAAGTTTTAATGTAAAATGCTGATGTCATTGTAATAATGGCCGATTCAATTCATGGGCTACAGAGAAACATTAATCTTTTCAAAGCCTGCAACGCCAAATGAAATATTGCAGCCAATCTTAAAAAATTGAGGCGATGGCTACGATACTATAATTGTTGACTTTTTAAAGGACTCTTGTGGTCTAATGGAGCTTGGTCCATTCTTATAAGGAAACCCTTAAAACCCTCTATTCATAGTTTAATCAGGATTTTAATGCTTAAGTATGAATTATAAAATGTAAAATGCGTTGAACGGAGAGGACGAATGCATTGATTTTATATGATTTAACAAGAATTTTTCAAGGAGCAAACACTTTCTTACAATATATCAGGATATGAAATATCAATTTTCCTCTATTATGACTACCTTGTTTCACAAGATGATACTGTTTTTTAAATTGTAGTATTGCCGTTGTTAAGAAATTAGTTAATACAGTCCCCAAAAACTGTTATATTACCAAGTAACTGTTTGTTCCATGGTCTCCTTTAAGGTGGCTCCAGATATACGGTATTTGCTAAATTCCGATTACCACCGAACATTTGCCAAGCCTCGAGATGCTTTTCTTGGCATTCGCCAAATAGACTGCCTATGTATACACACATGAGGAGTTTGTACAACCAGCTAATTTGTGCAGAAACAGCGTATACGTATTTGCCAAGTACCGTGAGAGTGATGGACTACAATGAAACTGTCAATGCTGCACCTGTGGTTACTGTTTTGTGTAGTGGCTACAAACTCATCATAAATCAGTTACAGAGTACTGTTGCCCAACTTACTTTCGATCCGTTTCCACGCATTGAAAACCTCGTTCCGATTTTTGCGATTCGGAAGAGTAGTGTTTCAAATTATTGGTTCAGGACGGTACAGATCAAGGCACTCCAAAATTGTTATGTTGGGCCAATCCATTCCTAACAAACAGAAACCCTATATGGTTCTTTCATTAATACATCTAATCTAGCTAGGAATCGTAAAAAAATAAACAGCAGGAAATATAAGTATATACTTATTGTTGATTGATTATTACAGTTGATATGCATACAGTAATTTCCAAATATGTGATTGCTTTGAGCTTGGTTACTTCACAAATATTTGAGTACTTTGAAGCAGGCAAGGAAATCGACAATTAGCCAAGCACCGAGTATTGTTGCTCAGTGAATGACCGAGCACCCACCTAGTCAGGATTCAGCAAACCTTTGCTCAACATCTGACGAATCCCAAATTTCAGGAGCCACCTTTAAACACAGTGGGGTAGAGAATGGGAAATATTAATGAAAAAATAAGTTTATGAATACTATCACTCTATTTATTGTATTTTTGGAACCCTACCTTCCTTTACACAAAGAGTAGTTAAGTGCTGAACACAGAGTATCAGTACCGCTTACATGTTTAAACCAGGCAACTTTGTTTCAAGTTTATTTAGAAATCGTGAGATGCGGTCTGATGTGATGTAGGTTTCAGAAAAACATTTTCTTTATCGTGCCAACGTTTCAATCTTTATTGAGATCATCTTCAGGGCCTGGGATTTACAAACATTGTTTAGATATAACAATTACATTTTGGATGTGGAAAAGTAAATTTATACAATGCAAAATATATTCTATATTCAATCAAAGTATTTCTACTCACTCAGTGTTTTTCTTCTGTGTAATTGTGCCATTTTTTGCGTGTCGTGTCGAAAGTGCCAATGAGATTTTGCTATTTTGTGTTTATACATGTTGGATTTTGAAGGGGTGGGGAAGGAAATCGGTATAGAAAAGACATTTTTGTATAAGGCGTCGGCTTCTTTGAGGTGAAAAGAGCCGACTGAAGGAGAAAAATGTGTTGGTAATGGTTCAGCCAGATTATCCTTTCAGGATTATATAGAAAGAGATAAATAGGAAAGGGAAAGCTAAATTGTGAAATTAGACTATGTGAAAAATATTTGATGTGTGGAATGTAATGTGATGATATTAGTATGTTATCTGTATTGAATTTGATTAATGATATTGGCATAGCTGCGACTTGAGTTTACATGTATCTGTTCTGTAATTGATGCTGTGTTTATCTCTGTTGATATAAACCATTTCTAAGAAATTACGTTTGTGTTTGTTTTGTTCTGTCTGTAATACTTTTGGATTTTTGAAGTCGAAATTGTGTTGGTGTTCAAAGTGGTGGGTAGCGAGTGCTGTAGGATTTTGCTTAGGTTTTTTGCAATCATAGATATGTTGCTTTACTCTCAGATATTGGGATGTAAGACTGATTTGTTTCAAGTAAAATGACTCAAGCTGAGCTCTGCTCATTTTTACGCCCGTGTCAGTGAATATTTGTACCTTTTGTTTTTCTAGAATATGTACTGTTATGAGAATGGACAAAAAGCAATTAACATAAAATATTAAGGCCCAAGCATCATAACCTGTCCTGGTATGATCAATAGCTGTTTTACAATCAATTATACTTTTAATCTAACATCTTGGTTGACTTAATGAAAAAGCAAGCATCAGGAGAGCAGGATTCAAACCCCTCGACCAGTGCTTTTTCATCATTCATCAAGACTAGCTTTTTCATCTCAATCAAAACCTTAGATTAAAAGGATAATTGTTTAAAATGGTTAATAATAGCCAACTGTGACCGCTAAATATATATACCATGCCCTTTAAAAGCTGTTGTATCCTCAGTTCTGTTTTGTATTGGAATGTTCAGAAAATGCAATTTCCTTCTGTGGGCACAATAATGAACCAATAATTTAATAGTTACCTATCACCATGACTGACAAAATCAGTGAGGTTAGGCTGACCAAGATAATAGGTACTATCAACTATAGATTTTTTTAAGTTTAATTGTAAATTTCGAAAGTTTATGCTTCAAGAGTAGAAGCAGACGTTATTATTCAGGGTGTGCATTACACTTGGTACACCTAGATCTGTTGTATCCCCCAGTCTGTGCTTATAGCACACTGGTGTTAGAAAAACTTGATATGCCCGGTTTCAGTGGTTGAATCTCTTCTACTGTTACATTATACGTCCCAAAGCCCTTCCTCCTCGAGTAATTGTAACACCACAGTTTGATAGTAGGTGTGTATGTGTTCCCTCTGCTTCTTTGCAGAATTTGCATGTGCCGAATTACACAAATCTTCAAATGTCCGTTTGGCATGCGATGTCATGTTCCTTTGCATTCTGTTACCTTTTTTCTTCCAAAGTTTGGTACGAGATTCTTGGATTGTTTTGATTCAATGGTAAATGGCAAGTTGTTCATCTCTTCTTAAAACAACTCGAAGATCAGCAGTCATGCTATATTATAATGTTAATGTTTCCAACTCAGAGAAGTAAATAATCTAAATAAAAATTTGTGTTTGGATTGTAAACAGTGAAACGTGCGTTTTAGGCTTAATCAAACATTATTCAAGTTAGCTACAAACGCTTATGTTTACAGGTTATGAGGGCCTTGAGAATGAGAGCCGGATGAAAACAAACAGCACGACCGGTAAATTGTTTAAAATGATTTTTTAAATATTAATTATTGAATAAAATGTACCGTGTCGAATGTTTTGAAAGTCTTACCTCTGGATCTTCCCAGTTGAGCTCTTTTGTCTTTTCCGTCGGGGCCAGGTTCCTGTAACGGCCCATAAGCTCGTCGAGAAGAGCAGCCGCCGCTTGAACAGCCATTTTCCAATTTGATTTTCCTGCAGAGTCGCTTGAGCAGAACGCAGAAGAAACAAAAAGAAAGTGAAAAATCCTTCGGAAAAGAGTGAGCGGACACGGTACTCGGCCGAGTATCGGTAGTCAGTACACGCACAGTGTACACTCGAAAAGCTACCCACTCACCAATGACGTTTAGTAATGGCGCATCGGCCTTCGACTTGGCCGTTGCTCCAACCAGCCGGCGGGCTTAACTAAAGAATAAAAAGCTTGGGACAAATTGCTATGCGCTTTTAAATAAGCTCTCTGGACTTGTGAAAGCTCAAGGAACGGTCTTTTTATTAAATATGAAATCGGACCTACGATCGAAGTGGCTTCGGCATGCGAAAGCCCTGGCGGTCATGCCTTTAAGCTACAATCACAATCTCATTATTTTATTACATTATTTACATTTTATTACATATTAAAAATATGCAAGTATTTAAAAAATATCACTAAAAAAACAAAACAGAAAACATCTAATTAAAAAGATGAAAAAATTATAAATGTAAATTTATTTTAAGAAAAAAATTACAATCATACAGGCTAGACCAAGTGCTAAGAGGAAATTCACTGATGACAATTTAAGCACCATCCTTAAATTTTAAGGTATTTTAGTTTATTCATATTTTATACACCAAAAATAGGTTGGGTGAAAAATAAGACGTTTGAAAAAAAGTTCTTATCTAATGCTAAAATATAATTATTGAGCAAAAGAAAGCTGGAAATTCAAAAACAAATAAAAATGTAAAAACAAAAATTGTCCCCTTTAATACCAAGTACTAAGAGGAAATTCACTGATGACGATTTAAGCACTATCCTTAAATTTTAATGTATTTTAGTTTATTCATATTTTGTTCATCAAAAATACGTTGGGCGAAAATATAAGATGTTTAAAAAGAAAACATTTCTTATGTAATGCTAAAAAAAGTAATTATTGAGAAAAAAAAAACAATAAAGCTGATTATTGAAAACAAATAAAAATGTAAAAAAAAATTGTTTGCACCCTTTAACACCAATTACTAAGAGGAAATTCACCTATGACAATTAAAGCACCATCCTTAAATTTTAAGGTATTTTAGTTTATTCATATTTTATACACCAAAAATAGGTTGGGTGAAAAATAAGAGTTTAAAAAGAAAATGTTTCTTATCTAATGCTCAACTTATCTCAATAATCAATAAATTAATTATTGAGCACAAAAAAAGAAATTAATCATTTTTTGTGCCCATTAATACCAAGTACTAAGAGGAAATTCATTGATGACAATTTAAGCACCATCCTTAAATTTTAATGTATTTAAGTTTATACATATTTTGTAAACCAAATAGGTGAGGTGTAAAAATAAGAATAAGAACAGAAAATTCTAAAACAAATACGAATTTAAAAAAAAACAACGTTTTTGTCCCCTTTAATACCAAGTGTTTCCACTTCTGGCACAAACTAGGTCTGCTAAACACCTTTGCATTCCTTACATTACAATAAAGAGCCGCTGGCAAGGATATGGAGGTTGATTAACAACACGAAGCTGGCCAATAAGTTATAAAAAACAGCACAATAGATCTTTTCATGTCGTGGTGCAGAAGGCCTTGTGGCTGACTCTTTTATCTCAATCCCTATCCTTATCCCCTAGCTTGCCTCATATTTGCACTTTGTCAAGTGTTTTGGTTTTTTTTTCCGGCTCCAACTTAAGTACCCACTCCGGTGCACCTAGTTATGGTTCGGGTTCCATAGGTGAGAGGTCCCTTTTATAGCTAGTTGTTCATTTCCTTCTATACCTTCATGTTCCATAACACCTTTCTGAGATTTCCTAGAGCCATTATGCAATTTAGGTATTCCCAGAAAAGTTTAGATTTGAAAGTATTTGTTAGTGTCTTTATTACTACCTGACTATCTGAGAGTATGTAAATCTGTGCACCTTTCATATTTTTCTTTATTAACTCCTGCACACAGAGTTTATTCCATGGATCTCAGTTTAAAACTGCAACTCAGACTGCTTGTAAATTTTGTGATGTATATGAAGTTAATGTTTTATGAGAAAGCATTGTCCATAAGTTTTCGCTCAATTCAAAAATGGATATTTTGATTTGGTGCAATAGTACAATTAAATTGCTTAATTTAACAATTAAAGTGGGTAATTATTTGTGAAAGTTGAAATCCTCAAAGCCTGTAATCACTTGATGATTTTCCACGAGGCTGATGCTTTGACAGCCTGATAAAAAAAGGTTCTCTGTTGCAAAATTTGCTTCTTGTGGGAGTAGAAATGAGACGATTTCCATTTACAATGACAGATCAACAGTTACTAATTTGCTTATAAAAAATAAATTTTGGACCGTATAGCTGATAGTTGTCAGGTGGCCTCTTTATATATATAGATTTTTCCAAGACCTTCAACAAAATTGATACTTATTTAGAAGCCAGAAGCAAATGGAATATTTGGAAATCTGAAGCTTTGGCTGCACAGTTATTTATCTGAACTACCCAAAGATTAGGTATTTTAGATCTCTTCCCTTTTCTGTTTTATCTGGTGTGGTCCTTTTCTCTTTCTCCCTTCATTATATTCCCCTTGCTCTCTGGTACCAAGTTTCATGTATTTGATGACGACCTAAATATATACAAACATTTATTCTGCCTTAGATTGTATTAATTTGCAAAATTTTCTCAATAATCTTTCCGACTGGTGTGAAACCAAAAAACTATACTTAAATAATTTTAAACATTTTACTAACACTTTTTCTTTAAAAAAATCTCCTATTTTCCACTCTTGTACCATTATCCTCAGCTACTAATTTGCTAATATATCAAAATTATATTTGTATATCTGAGTAACTTGTATAAGAGATCTTGGTGTCATCTTTGATAGTAATCTTGCCTTTATGAAACATTTACAAAAAATCAAAAATTGCTCCTTTAAAAGGTTTCATCATCCAAAGTACTTATCAGATCAAAAACCCTTCTTGCTATGTCCATGTATATAATTCACCTGTTCTACCTATTCTTGAATATGCCTCAATCATCTGAAATTCACACTACTACACTGATATAAAACTTCTTCAAACTGTTCAAAATAAATTCTTTCATACATTATATTTGAAATTAAACCATCGCAGCGACACATGCTCTTATGCTCCCATTAAATCTTACTTCAATATTCTGATCTTAGTTGCAGCAGAAGAAAATATTTTTTTGTTAGAATATTTTTATTTTTATATTATTAATAATATAATGTACAGATTTTCCAGAAATCCTTGGTAAACTCCAGTTTTATATATCTCCTTGGCACCTCCGAAATAGTTTTTATTGAATATAAAGGAACAAATTTGGCACTTCACTCCCTGATGCATCTCATGATGACAGAATGTAGCAACATATGCAATACTGTTGATTTATTTAATACTTCTTTTTCCTCATTAAAACGTCAGTTTCTTAAAGATATTAATTCTATTTAGTAAAAAAAGGTAGGAATGTACTATGTAAGTAGTTATAATGCTTTTTTATATTATTTTTATATAATTTCTAGTCGTTTTATATGGATAGGGTGTTTAATTAATATTTATGTTGTTTTATTTTTTGCCTTTTAGGATTTTATTGTGTTTTTCATTGATGTATAGTATAGTATTTTTTCATTAATATGTGGTGATTAGTGACCGTTAGTTTATGATTAATCGGAAATCGTGAGATGCGGTCCGGTTTATCTCAACTTTACATCTCACCATCCTCTTCACACAATAATAAACACAGCCAAAGGATTACTTCACAGAATTATTACCCTAAGCCATGAATCACTTCACCACAAGAACATAAAGGTATACAAACATATCCTACATAACAATCCTACCCTAAACACATAATCAACAGAATAATCAACAACTACAACTCAACACTAACACCATCCGCTATTACTAATAATACTACATCGTATCTATCAAATACAGACAAACCAACAAACAATTCCATGCCATTCATTCACGGCCTATCACATAAATTAAACACATTTCTCTCTTCCGATAATTTTAAAATAGCTTTCAAAAACTATAAAACAATTCACACATTTTTTCCAAAATTAAAGATCCCACACCAATAACAAATAAATCTGCCATAATCTACAAAATCAATTGTTTAAATTGTCCGGCATATTACATTGGTCTTACATCCCAATATCTGGATAAGAGAGTAAAGCAACATCTATGATTGCAAAAAACCTAAGCAAAATCCTACAGCACTCGCTACCCACTATCTTGAACACCAACACAATTTCGAGTTCAAAAATCCAAAAGTATTACACACAGAACAAAACAAACATAAACATAATTTCTTAGAAATGGTTTATATCAACAGAGATAAACACAGCATCAATTACAGAACAGATACATGTAAATTCAGTCGCAGCTACGCCAATATCATTAATCAAATTCAATGTCGATAACATACATACATTATCATCACATCACACAAAACCACACATCAAGCATTTCTACCTATTCTAATGTTTCAACAATTTAGCTTTTTTTCCCTAATTATCCCCGTCTATATAATCCCGATAATCTGGTCGAACCATTACTGTCGTTTCTTCCTATCGTCGGCTCTTTTCACCTCAAAGAAGCCGACTCCTTTTACAAAAATGTCTTTCTATACCGACCTCCTTCCCCCACCCTTCAAAATCCAACCTACATAAACATAAAAGAGCAATATCTCTCTAACAATCTCAACACAACACACAAGAATGGCAGAAAACAAACACTTTCAGCGAATAGAAATACTTTGATTGAATATAAAAAATATTTTTTTCGCATGTATAAATTCACTTTTTTCCACATCCTACAGGTATTTGTTAAATTTAAACAATGTTTGTAAATCCCAGGCCCTGAAGGTGATCTCAATAAAGATCGGAACGTTGGCACGATAAAGAAAATTCACTAGTTTCGTGGTCCGCTTGACCAATTAATATCATACAATTAATTAAGGTTTTTAGTTGAGATAAAAAAGTCAATGGCACGAGCGGGATTCGAACCAACGATCTTCGGCTAGATACGCCGCTGCTCTACCACTTGAGCTATCGTGACCTCGATCCACTCGGGCACCAACCGAGTGGTTGTGATGGGAGGTTGGTGTCCGAGTGGATGGCAGCGGGAAGGACTTCAAGGTTCGGACAGGGGCCCAAGACAGGTGTCCCTGGGGTCTGAGCCCGCATGCTTGACTGCTGTCGATCTTGCACCGGGGGAGAAGTAGTGCTCCTCCCCCTTCCCGTCATTGAGGGAAGACTCTTA